GTACATTTTACGAATAGCTGAATATTTCTCACAGACAAACGCCGAGATATTACATGATTTACAAAATGAATTACTCAAATCGTTATCTTTAGATTTCCGATAATTGGTAACTCTAAGGTTATGTGTAAAGAAATTCCAAATTTACAAAATGGTCTGATTAAAGATCATTCAAATGGAGAATGTACATATACATTTCAGGCTCTAAAAGTGAATTTAAATTACTATAATATCTTTTAAATTGTTTGAAAAGATATGTCTTTCTGACGTTGAGATAAAATATTTAGGAATGACGAAACATTGCCAACATCTTGGCTTATCCACACATAAGAAAAAACATGTGTAAATAATAACATTCTTAAATCAGACACCCAACTACGTATACATTTTCCACTTTCATCCATTACTGTTAACATTTTATAACACTGGTGAGGGTAGCGATAATTTCTTATTCTAATTAACTTCATCCAATATTTAACAACACGCAACTGTGTAATGGTTAACATTCCGCCCAACTTCACCCAAAACAGCTTTATGAGATACGAAGTTCCTTACCCTCAAAAACCGTTTTAAAAAGGCAGATGAATTTTGTTCAATTAAATTATGATATTTTACACCCCACATTTCAGCACCATATGACAACATGGGAGCAATTTTGACTTTTTATTGGAAAGATTGAAATAGCTTGAGCATGCCTTAGTCCGTGTAAAAGCAGAGGAACATGTTTAACCCAAATCTTTATAATAAGTAGCAGACTTTAAATTTACTTTACCAATTGTCCACCTTTCATGCTGTGTACTTATACCAACATTTCGAAACACAATGACAATGTAAATTATCGAGTTTGGACCAGACAATACATTGATCATCAATCATCAATCAGCTCAATTGGGATACGATGACATGTGTCAACCAAGTCAGCGAGCCAGACCACCCTATCCTGTGTTACGGTTAATAATTTTCCGTGACCAACGGTTTTAGAGTCCCCTTTGAACCAGCAAAATAGAATACAGACAAGTCTAAAATATTCAATAATATATTGAACAAACAATGAGCAAGCTACAATGAATGGCAATACAGATTTCCAGTACAATGCAATTGAGTCACAAATCTAAATTATAGGGTCACAAGTATACGATATTAACTCACCAGAGTCTTGTCATTTACAGTGAGAACAGATATACTGATTGAAAGTTGTTTACACTGACAGCTGTTGAATAGACAAGCACATTCGGTCTTGATACGTTGATCAACTTGACGATGGCAGACAGTTGTGTATAAATCCAGTCGCACAAATCAACAACCAGCCTTTATATAGCTCTTACACAGTTCTCGAGCATTCTAGCAAAGCTAGGCTCCATCATATCCTCTCAGAATGTTATGGAAAATTCCACGGCATGACGAGAGACAAGATACACAAGCCAGCCAAGGGAGGCAACTCTGAAGCCCTATTTCAAAAGGCGTACCGCTAAAAATACATATATGATGCGAGATGCGAGACACATAGCAAAATAACTAACATAACATATTAAGATGACATGTAATAATATGATTAACACGAGAAACATCTCTCAAAATTACTTTGATATAATGCAGATACAAATATACAGCATCATCAAGGCATTATGCATTTACAACTTGGAACGTTGTGACCCATAAAACTATCACTTAATCAATGTGCTATTACAAATTACAAAAACACACTATCATAACACCGGTTAGTCGCCTCTTACGACAAGCCTGTGCTACTGAAGACCAATTCTAACCCGGATCTTCACGGGTTGTATTACCTCATGATAAGTGATTGTGTTTTTAAATATTGTGTTATATATGCACATGATTATTAATAAATGCCATTTAGAAGTTGGAAAAACCTCACCACCTCATCAATAAGTAACAAAGCTATTATCCGGAAAAGTTCAAGATATTCTTTGTCTGATATGTTTCCAATTCTAATAGCAGTGAATTGAGCAGGCTGATTCTATTGTCCACCAAATTACTTACACTGAATATGCATTCCCTGTTATACTATTTGCAATGGATACTGCCGAGTGCGGCGTTAAACAACTAACCACACATACAATGCCATAACTGATACAATCTGGGTGTTGCCTTTTTCTTAAACAATGTTTGCCTTAATGAATAAATGACATTAGACTTAACAGGTTCCACCTGTCTAGATATCACACCAATAGACTGTAAATGCATGACCACTGTTGTATCTGAATAATATCAAGCATATTTCTTATCATAAAGGGGGACAACGCCAAGCTATCGCTGACACTTGATTCATATTCATCGATGTACTTCGAGATTGTCCCGTCCACTGTCCAGGGGTCCACAAACCTGCTGATCAGAGTGAAGGATAACATCGTCCTGGATTATGAACAGAAACAGAGCATTACACTGATGGTAACACAACATACATAGCTACGCAAATAAAACCATTGTGTCTTTTATAGCAACGACGTGTTGCGAGCTACAACATATTAGCTCTCCCTACGTGACATTGGAGTGGTGTTGAAATGGAACACTGAAACAGTTAAGGAGTGACACCCATGTAAGCCAAATCATCATCTACATCCTCATAATAGATAGGTCTCGGGTTGTTATACTTTATAGAGAGGTAACGTATTCATTTCTCTAACGAGTTTTTGCACAGTTTCAGCTGATCGTTATTAAACATTATGATCAGTGTTGACTCGCGCTGCGTTTTATGCTAGACAATATAACAGACTTTATATTTACACATATCACCAACATAGAAATGAATGTTACTTCCTTGAGATTATTGGTGGATGAAACACTCTTCATAGATGTATTACATTCTCCCGGTATACAATGAGGCTCCACTACAATATCATTATGATTCTATTCTTTGAGCACTTCATCTTTACCCTGTAAATATCCAGGTTTGGGCCAACGAAACCTCCACACGAGAGAGAAACAGTGCATCTACCACCATTCAGCTGAATATAACAAATCAGAATGACAACAGTCCCAACTTTACCATGTCAGAATACAGCGCATCTGTCCCGGAGGGTAGCAGCGTCTCCACATCTATCATCACCGTCAAGGTATTTGTAACAATGTAACATATAACTTCACGCACACTGCCTACATCATCTGTCCAGGAGGGTAGCAGCGTCTCCACATCTGTCATCAGCGTCAAGGTATTTGTAACCATGTAACATGTAATTCCAACCACACTGCCTCTGTCCGGGAGGGTTGTACTGTCTAGACATCTGTCGTAACAGTGACGGCATATGTACCGTGTTAACCAGTTCTAAACCAATACTGGCCACACCACCTCTACCTCTACATTTGTCATGACCAAGACGGAATGTGATGTCATGACATCAATCAGTCTTTGTCACTACTGTTTTTGTACGTTCCGCTGTCATATATACTCAAAGGCAAAAGTTATTGTGGTTGACTTGAAGTAAGATATGTGAATTAACAACTGATATGTTTATGTTATCCTCCCCATTACGTGGGATCTGGGGATTTATCGAACCAGGGTTGGCCGTTGACTGCGCCAAGAATGGCTGAACCCCGCTGGCGAAAGGAGGTCTGGCATTGCCCTGCTTGAAGATCATTCCTGGACCGTTCTGCTGGAGAGATGGTATGACGACTGGATAAATAAATTGGTCTCTGTACCTGAGACTCGTTAAATGTCCATTGGTGGCAAGCAAAGGTGTACGTCCAGCAATCGTTATCCAAACCCAAACCATCATTCTACTGAGGCCAAAACAATCGACCTGAAGGACACAGTTCCTAATATAATGCTCACCACGTCGCCGGTAAACTCGGGTTCGGCCTTCATCTCGATGCAGGAAGAATCTGGACTCGTCAGTGAAGAGAACATGTCGCCATCCACGTGTTCTCCACCGCAGATGTTACCTGCACCACTGCAGTCGTAGACGTTGGTGACTTAATGTCAGAATTTGTCGTCTGGCAGGACGTCTAGCACGTATTCCGTGTCCGACAAATGGTCCTTGCCGATATCCAACTGACACCAGAAACTGTTTGGGCTGTCAGTGTGGCTGGTAGGAATCTTTAGCGCAGAACCTGTTGCGTGGTAACAGGTGGACGGCCACATCGCGATCGGGGACGGTCTGATAACGTTTCCACAAGCCGTGTACGGTGTTCCTATGCACGTTAAACTGCTGTTTTAAGCATTCCAGTGACTCGCCATCATTCCTTTTCAGTAGGACGTAGCATAGAGAAATGCAAGCAGATTCTTCCAAATTTGTGTTTTTCGGACCCGTTGACGTCTACACAATGGCTTTGGTGACAATGATTCGAGCTTTAGACCCACCCTTTTTAAAGGGCATATTTTATGCCTATTTTCTACGGACTTCTTGAAAGCACGAAAAACGCATGCAACCACTGACAGGGCCCTGTTGGGTGATGGATTAAGTGTAAAATAAAGAATAGTAAAATACATTATAAGACAAACCTTTGCCTTTGAGTATTGTTTGGGCATTTCTTAGTATTGTGATAAACAAGACGAACTGTACAAAATGGCTCCCACGTATGTTGCAAACGACTTATCATAATTCGGGAATTGGACTCCCCGATCAGCGGATCCTTGAAAAGGATATAATTGTAAAGTAAAACCACTGTCACACATGTGTTCTGTAACGTGAAACAAAGAATATCAATACTGTGACACGTATTTCCGTTCATTCTGTCAATGCTACTCTTTTCAGGCTATAGACAAGGATCTGCCGAACTTCGGATTTGTATCTTATGCACTACGGGATGGCGACGGAATGTAAGCATCCATGTAATTGTGTGTTTGAACGCATAATTTTCGCATTAGTGAAATATTCACATGCTATCAGCGAGTAACAACCTACCTTGATTGTTACTCCACAATATGTTGTGTCTCACGATCTCTTGCTCGTCTTGATATCTTGTGTCTCCTGATCTCTTGTGCCTCCCGACCTCTTGCGTCCCCTGATCTCTTGTGTCTCTTAATATCTTGTTCGTCTTGATATCTTCTTGTCTCCTGATATCTTGGGTCTCTTGATTTCTTGTTCGTCTTAATGTCTTGTGTCTCCTGATCTCTTGTGTCTGTCGATCTCTTGAGCCTCCCGGGCGCTTGTGTCTCACGATCTCTTGTGTCTCTTGATATCTTGTGTCTATCGTTCTCTTGAGTCTCCCAAGCTCTTTTGTCTTTTGATCTCTTGTGTCTCCTGATCTATTGTGTGTCTGGATCTCTTCCGTCTCCTGATCTCTTGTACGTGTGTATGTGTGGTATATACGGTATATTTTTCTTGTATATGTTTATCGCATTATTTCCTGTATGTACTGTATATAACGTATATATTATTTGTATGCATTGGATGTATTGCATGTATTTATTGTACGTGTTAACTGGTAGATTGTTGGTTTGCATCATGTGCGTATAGATGTATGCATATTAATAAACTCTTCAAAAAGGCTAAAAATAAGGAAATGTATTAAACGTATTAAGTCGTCTGATTTTTGCTTGAGGAATTCTTCGCAATTCCTCCTGCAACGCGTTGGCAAACCTCTGCAAATGTCTGGGGACAACGGCGACGATGTTGACGCGTCGATCAAGTCCGTCCCATAAGGCTCGATAGGGTTCAAATCAGGCGATTTGGAAGGCCAGGGAAGGACATTGACGTTTGCTGTGGCGAGATAGGCACCTGTTACACGAGCTATGTGGGGTTGAGTGTTGTCAGGTTGAAACAGCTCCCTCTGGCGGTTAACAATTTGTTGCGGTCGCAGGATTTGGTCTATGTAGCAATTTGCTGTAAAATTGCCTTGAACCACCACTAGCTCTGATCTACCCTTGTAGGACGTGATCCCCCACACATTGACGCTGTCTCCACCAAATCTGTCCTCCTTTCGAACGCAGATTAGCGCAAAACGGTCTTGGTGACGTTCGTCGTTGCAGGAGGAAACGCGATTCGTCACCGAACCAAACGCGTCCCCAGTTCCCCAGGTACCATGCCTGTACTCTGTTGCACCATTGGACACATTGTTGCCTGTGTAGTCGCGTCAGGACAGGTCCAATGTTCGGTCGATGTGTTTGAATTGTCACTTCTCTCAGACGATTTCTGATGGTTTGGTAGGAAATCCTTAAGGCACCTGTCCTGCAATGTTCGATGCTGTAGCAAATCGGTGACTTAGGAGAAACACCCGGACGAATCGGTACTTAGCATGAGTGGCCACTCTTGGTCTTCCACTTCTTTGACGATCTTAGGTCGAATCGAACCGGATATATCGATGCCATAATCGAGATAGGGTGTGTTTTGGACGTTGGAGTCTTGCAACGGCAGACTGGAACTGTCCTGGTTCCAATTGTTCAATGGCGATATTTCGGTCAGTGGCATTCAACCTTGGCATTTTAATCTTTGTTTAGTCGTAAATTGTGTAATTAAATGATGAGTTTGGTTTGGCCTTTTATATATCAATGTCTATACTATTGTTCCCGACACATTGCACGTGCATTACGTGGAAAACTTTTTTCTGCATGCACTTTTCATGTATCATTTTCTATGCCAAACATTTAGAGACACATTTTGGGATGCGTTTATGCACAGTGCACAAACAACCACGACATGATTAACGGGATTCAACCATATGACAAATGACGACTGCTGTCAAAATATATCGAAATGAAATGCTGAAAACGCTGTTTCTTGTTTTTCAACAGTGTACATGAGAATATTAATATCCTACACATTTGTATCTGAATATATTCGTTTCTGCGACATCTCTGTTCAAGGTTCTCCATCGATTCCTCTGGTCTCGTAACTGTGGCCTCTGACCAGCTGGACAGAGAGACCAAGTCTGTGTACTACATATCGGTGGAGGCCACAGACCCCGGAGGATGGAAGGACACCGCTCAGCTCACTGTCAGCATCACGGACGTCAACGATAATGCACCGGTATTCAGAAGAGACTACGACGGGTATTTGAAAGAAAATGAAACCTCCTTTAGTAAACCCATCATTGTGTCGGTGAGTTTACCAAATGCAAGGTATTGTGCGCAAGCTCACGTTAGCTGTTCCTTCATAGTTTGAAACAATGAAACAAACGATATTTGGTTTCTACATGTTGTTAAATCTACCAGTAACCGATTAATGCAGTCACGCTGATGCAAGGCTTTTATCTGGACACCTTTTTTATTGCCAACAAGCATCTATACTAAAAGTTACGTGGATGCAAAAAGGACATTTTCCTCAATACAAATTACACACCTTTTACGTCTTTTAACCTTAACTATGATGACATTGCCTACATTTGCTTCCTCTTCAGTACCCTCACGAAACTAGTATAGCAGTACTCAGGGATGCTACTAAGCGTATTTTCAGTCAGCAACAACAAAAGTGGAAACATCTTCAGAAAAAATATATCTAGGTGTTCAAGGAAATTGCAAACATTTACACACACACACACACACATATATATATATATATATAATATATATATATATAATATGGCAAAGTGGAATAAAATATGTTTTTCATAATCAAAGTTAACGTTTAAAATCTATGTCCATTTGCAGCTGACATTACAATTTAAACAGCGCAACACCAATACTAATAGTATACATATATTAACTTTATCTTCCAAAGACCACAGACGCCGACATTGGGGTCAATGCCCAGGTGAGGTACAGCATCAGCCGGACCTACCCAATCGACCTCGACTCCCACTTCGCCGTGGACGGTGTCACCGGTGTCCTCTCCGTGGTCGTTCCTCTCATGAACAGTGACACTAGCCAGGTTGCTGTGTTGGTGCGGGCCACGGACTCTGGCACACCTCCACTATTCTCTGATGTTAACGTTACAATTAGTCTCCTGGTGGGTATCATGCGTCATATCTGGATATATATCATATGTCATATCTGGATATATATCATATGTCATATCTGGATAAATACATTCATTCACATATTTCAATTCATGATTGAAAAATAATGGAGTTATATCGGAGTCAATCAATGTTGATATGATAGCAATGAATGCTTTGAGAGTGCATCGCCACTTGCACTTGCTTATGACCATAGTTGTTTGTACAGTAATCGCTCTACAGTGATTTATCGACCTTCTTGAATACCGTCAGAATCAAGAATGACATCCCATGCACGTATATGGGGATACTTCGTTGTGCACGTGCATCCCATGCGTTGTGTTTAGGGGTGGTGATACCGAGAAATGGTGGTGCCTTCATAAGATGTCTGTCTTTGAAAAGTTTGTTAACGCTTAATATACTTCCTATCCAAATTGAAAGTTCAGGTTCCCCTTCCTTTTCAAGAGTAAATATATGCGTAACACTATTAATGTGCCATTTTCCCAGGGACCAGAAATATGTAGTAAAAGAAATAGGTGTCAAACCAATTACAACCCAAGAAATGTTTTGAATTATCTATTGTATCATGAAATCAAATAGGTTTACAAATCAATGCATATTAATGTAAAGTAATGACCAAGACAGTACAGTTACAAAGGCAATAGGATATAAAATAGCAGTGGTATATGTAATGAAATAGGTGACAATAGTGTTCTCCAAGCAGCAACAGTGGTCAGGCTTACGAACCAGGCCTAGACTGGATGGCCAGGGTGAACGTAACAGTCTTCCCAGACTACTGGTCTTGTGAGTTTAGTTTTACGCCGCACTAAGCAATGTTCCAGCTATATGGCAGACTGGTCTTGAAAATGAGATGAGATGTAAATGTGCGTGTCTAAATACCTTCTAGGAGGTTTTAACTTTATGTTGTATTAGTTGATGAGTTCTAGAAACGTCTATATTACTTTTGACTCCCAGTCTGAAAATAGTAACAAACACACCACTTAACACTATCCAAATTGGATCTTAACAAGCAATGTAGTACAATTGCATCACTGTTTCACGATGAATTACACTGACACATTATAATATGAAACATTTTTTTTACAGACACCTGCACGAACATGTAGAGAAACAGGTAAATTATACCGGAAATGGAATTTGTCATGGATTGGGTATACATGTATTTTTCAGTATTTCAGCTGGGAAATAGAGAGAATTGAATGTGATATTGCTAAAAATAATTTTAACTTCGAGCTTCCGTATCGCTGATATCATGTTTGCAGGAATGAATGAGTTCGAACTAGCTTCTTTTGCGTGACGAGCGAAAGCTTTAAACAGGAGGCTGCACCACTGCCTACTTATGAGGAAGTAAAATAGCCGTTGATTTCGTTTTTTGTTTATATCTAGAATGGGAAAATAATGAGTGAGTGAGTGAGTTTGGTTTTACGCCACTTTTAGCAATATTCCAGCAATATCACGGTGGGGGACACCAGAAATGGGCTTAACACATTGTACCTATGTGGGAAATCGAGCCTGGGTCTTCGGCGTGACCATGGACAGTCGTCCATGGACAGTGCAGGGGTTAGTTTGAAGAGATTGTAGCTTCCATAAAATTCATTGTGGTAGAAATAGATATTTATATTTGAGTGAGTGACTGTTACTTCTTTAGCAATACTCCAGCAATACCATGGCGGGGGACACCAGAAATGGGCCTCTCACATAGTGAACTTGGGTCCTCGGCGTTTTAACCACTAGGCTACCCTACTGCCCGATTTGTGTTTGAAACTCCGTATTTGTTTCAGCGTGTCCACCCTGCACACCCATCCTGCACTGCGAGGAGGAGGAGACATCATCCAGTGTCTTCTTCAGGAGGTGCAGCAGGTGCGAGCAGGGATTCTACCGAAAAGCTGGTGCTTGCGAGGGTAGGTTAAGAATATACTTTGATGTACAGTTAATAGCTGCAGGATACACAGCAAACAGTGATGCATCAAAATCAGTCAGTCAATCACAGCATCATCGTTTGTGGTAGGAATCACTGTCAAATACTAATACCTGATATTGGTGACCTTGGCAGCCATCACGAACACATGCAAAGGCAAGTCTACTGTTCACGTGAAAGTATTTTCTACAAAAATAAAAAAAACACAAAAAACTCCAAGAACCAACCCAAAACAACGAAATTTATAGTAGAAGTCAAAATAGGGATTTGTATTATACATGCTTGTGACTGATGCATCATGATTAGAAATGCCAACGACACATTTACTATTACGCACAACTTTGATGAAAGCCACGACCTTGATGAAAGCATGTCTTAGACCATATGTGTACTGAATACAGGAGTCAAAGTCGCGCTTGTCACGCTGAAGACCCGGGTTCGAATTCCCACAGAGGTTACTCCTGTCATACCTTCCTACGTAACTTCTATTCTAATACGGCCCTTTCATGGTGTGAGCGTTCAAGACTCGTGATTGGAGGCAATCAGATTTAGTTGTGCAATCAGCGACGTTGTTTCAAAATTGATCATTCGCAAGGCCTCGGTAATTTCCGTATGCTTCGAGAAAATTAAACTTCTTCCCCTGCGCGATACGCAAAAGTTTCTTCTAGACAGAACTCAGTCATGTTATGGCGGATCAGTGGCGTCTCCATCGCCCTCGTTGACAACGGACAAGCTAGCCATTAAACGTCTTGTGTGTAACATCAACACAAGTCCCCGGCAGATGGGGGATATTTGTGGCCCCACATTTGCTTGTGTTAGTCAAGTTGAATCTAGGTCGATGTAACACGTGTTCTGATTGGATAGAAAGAAGGGAGATAATTCGTGTTGCGATCTTTTGCCGCTAGCGGATTTTACAAGAACCGGGAAATATGGCCGTATTAGAACAGAGGTTCGTAGGAAGATATGACAAGTAACCTCTGTGGGAAGAGAATGGGGTACAATGCGTGAAGCCAAATTCTGGTGTCCCCCGCGGTGATGTTGCTGGAATATTGCTAAAAGCGGCGTAAAACCAAACTCAGTCAGTCAGTCAGGAGTCAACGATCAGCGGATCCTTTTGCAAGAAAGAAACACAACTGTGCGACCACTGTACGATATGTGTCCCGTACCATTGCTTTCACTAAAGATGTGGCACTGATCAAATTGCTCTGATTAACAGCGAAACAATCGTACTTTTGATGTCCAAACGGTTACTTGAAAACGAGAAAAACTAAACTATCATATATAGAAAACAACACCACTGCAGTACATCTGGTTTTATGCAGAAGTTTACACTGTGTATGAGCTAAGCTCCTGATATGAAGTCTGTGTGTGCCCGACACGTTGCCTCTGCAACGTGAACAAAATAGAAAGAGAACAAACTAGAAACAAAACAGCAACAAACAAATAGATAAAATAAAAACACCAAAAAAAAAACACATTACAAAATCACACCCACAAAATACATACTATAACACAAGGCCTGGCGCTTAGGAAAAGCTCGGGATCGGGTGGTCAGGCTCGCTGACTTGGTTGACACATGTCATCGGTTACCAACTGCGTAGGTCGATGCTCATGCTGTTGATCACTGGATTGTCTGAACCAGACTCGATTATTTACAGACCTCCGCCATATATTATTATTATTATTATTATTATTATTATAGCATTTGTATAGCGCAAATATCCAGCTCAGCTGCTGATAGGCATTTGACTTTCCCTCGATCATTGGATGCCAAGCTCAAACAGCACATCGTAGTTTCAATCAAAACTCCCTGGGGAACATACAACTCTTGCAGCCACTAGGCGCACCAAGTTAATGTGGCTTTCCAATCCTTACGAGGAATCCATTCACAGCTGGGTGGACTGGGACTCATAATCACACACTTTTTTTGTCCAAGTTTACTGCACGTTGCTGTACCCGCAACTAGGTGTTTGCACGTATTCATGTGGCCACCATCTGGTCATATACCAACGGATTCGCGGGTTCTATTAAGTGCACAGGGTTGTGTACTGTACACTAGGGGTTGTGACAACACGGAAAGCGTCTGCACAGCAAAGCTGGAATATTACTGGGTGCGGCGTAAAACTAACTTCACTCACACACTTAAACATTTCCCACTATGTTGATTGGATGGATGGAATACCGATTGATGGAATTGCTATAGATGAGGCATCTATAGAATTGTGCTTGGCATTTGGCATAAAATGAATCTATCTATGCTACACATATTTCGTTACAACAACGGGCACTATAGTCTGAAAACACTGACAGTATTTCCCACGAAATTATCAAGTCCCATTGTTCCCACTAGTCATCACCAAAGAATAACACTATAATAGAATGTTTGAAACAGGACAGATACCCCATCTGTTTATTCTAGATAACACAACAGCAGATTGGTTGAAACAGTGAAGGTAACTTGAGATAACACTACCGCTGAATGGTTGAATCATTGTAAGCAACATCTAGAAAACACCACCGTAGGATGGTTGAAACACTGTAATTACAAATTGGACGGAAGCATTGATGGAATGACAGACCACTTCCGGGCAGTAGGTGCTCGGTTTGTAATATACGAATCATGGTCCCGATCCACAAAGCTTTCGTAACGTTACGACCTGTCGTAAAAACTACGAATGTCGTTGGCTAACACCGAACATCCACGACATTCGTTGTATTTACGACAGGTCGTAATGTTACGAACACTTTGTGGATCGGGACTCGTGGTTTCGGTTCTATTGGTGTGTTAGCCAGTGGCCAACGTTAACAGAACATTGCAGCTGTTTCACATTTTATGAATGTAAAGGGCCTCGCCTTTTTGTACTTGAATGGTCAAAACAGAATTTACATACCACTATATAATTAGGCACGTAATCAAAAGTCTCAGATACATTTCCGTGTGGTCATGAAGACTTTCATTTTATTTATATATTTCATGATGGTATTCTGAAACAGTATGCCCCCGCCCCCATGCTGGATGCCGTGATCTGATCTGCTCCTCCGCCACCGACGTCCACTGCACCAGCTGTTATCCGAGCTTCTATCTCACAGGAAACACCTGTTCAGGTGAGATCATCCTCACATCGAATGATAGTTGTTTCATGAAGCATTAGGGATGTGTACATCAGAATGTTACTGGACCAGGTGCAAAAGGTCTTTACGTGTGACGAGTTTCCCCCTCTTTCTCTCCATATATCAATACACTCACACACACACATACTCACTCTCTCTCTCTCTCTCTCTCTCTCTCACACACACACACACACACACGCACACTCACTTATAAACCCATACAGCGTCCAGCAACGTCCAGCAACCCATACAACGTCTAGCAACACCTTTGTGTCTTTCATGTGTCCAACATACTGTTGTAACGAAGTAATTGTTTGTTCCCTGTGTAAATATTTTTGTATTCCCCGTTTTTTTTGTGTTGTGTCGAAAATGGGATTACTCGAATAGTTTACATAGATTCCTTCCACTTCGACACAAGGTTGTTTGACTGTAACGTCAGTGAAAAGATTACCCAGTATTGACTGATTCCATTTGGTGTAAAGGGTAACATAGCGGTGAAAGACATGTTCACGGGCCAATGAAAGTCAGTGATGACACCAGGTGTTCACGAAAAGTGTAAGCATGTCATGCCCTACCGGCATTTGTAATTCGCCCAATTTGCTTCAAATAGGGGAGTATTTAGCCGACCCGAGATGACGCGGGTTAGAATTGGTCTTAAGCAACCAATGCTTGACGTTTGGGGGATTAACGGGATCGGGTGGTCAGTCTCGCTGTCTTGGTTGACACATGCCATCGTATCCCAATTACGTAGGTCGATGCTCATGCTGTTGATCACTGGATTGTCTGGTCCAGACTCGATTATTTACAGTCCGCCGCCAGATGCCAAGTGTGGCGTTAAACAACAAACCAACCAATGATTTAGCCTGAAGCCTCAAAGTAGTACTTCTGCGGGTTGTAATCAAACCAGAGAAAGTGATCGACGGACCGAAAAATCCAGTCGGATAATTTTGTTGATGCTATGTGGAACAACAGACATTCCGACGGTTAAAAGTAAAGCTGTTTTGGAAATAGATTTGGTTTGCAACATACCAGGGATCAGTATGAAGAAATCCATCAGAATTATCTAAACAAAATACAGCATTTCAAATAATCGTGATTAATAATCGTTTAGTACAATTGACACTGATTATATATACCTTATATAACAGTTGGTTATTCCAGTATTCCCTCCTGGTGGTTCTACCAGTATCATGTCATAGTAACAACACATGTACATTGCATCACTTCTTTGACATCTTTACGTCCATCTTCCAGATTGCCCTCAAACAGGACCTGACTGCCAACAAGTCGAGTGTACAGGTCCTCGACAGGTGACCTGCACGAAATGCAAAGACGGGTTGTTCTTCTTTAACAACCAATGCACAGGTCAGATGCATGTTTTCTTGCGTTCCATTCATACCATGACATAAATACCATATACCTACACGTAGATAGTAGATAGGGACAGTGGGAATCTCGTTAATCCGTCATTAATGAATGAAGAGTCATTTGGCTACCTTGAGAGAACCATATGATAGTTACTCCCCCCGTTTAACAGCGCTTGAGTACTTCTTTTAATTATTGCAAATTTATATTCTTCACTCACCACCTTGTAGATTGAGTTTACAAAGTGGGCAATACAGATAAGTGATTCCAGATCAAAGCAATTTGAAAATGGATTAAGGGTCGGGTTGTTGTTTTTGTTCTGGAGTTGAGATAGAATATAGATACTGACCGCCAGTGCAAAAGAATACCCAGTCTTAACTCACATCAGAAACAATTTCCGTTTACTGTAAATGGGAAAACAGCCGCGAAAGGAAAATTAATGTATCGCTAAAAATCAAATCCTTTTACAGTATCTCCTTGCAGGTACTCACCCAAACAGTTTTTGAATATTCTATACATTTTCGGAAATAGATATCAGATGATAAAAATAATCTGATTGATGAATATAATGCTGCAACTTTTACGAGCGCTTCCGACGCCCCCTGAGCAGCATGCCATGACCAGTTCAGTTCTGATATATTTGGATGTTTACAATGACATTATCTGATATCTGTCAGCCTGTCCGTCCACGATCCTGATCCCTGATTGTGTAGACGTTGCCAGAGACGGCTGCTTCAAACACTGGTGCAGGAAGTGTGCTCCTGGCTTCTTCATTAGTGGAACAGTCTGTGATGGTAAACTGTTTACTTTCTCAATTCTCGAGGGATGATCCTGGTAAGTGCGCCAAAGGCCGAAAGCATTAAGCGTTATATAGAATTTATGTATGTTGTAAGGGACAAATGACATTGATGAACTGGAAGTGATGTCCTCATTAAAGTCCAGTAAAGAGCAAGACCTGACAGCCTATTCAATTCTTCGTTCTAGTAAGTCTTTAAAAAATATACTCAGCAGCAAAAGAAACCTGTCAGTACGAATTCAAAATTAGATAGGCACTGTAATCAAATCATTACAGAAATGGACTTAAAAGGCGGATCAAAAACATCTTTTGTGTACAATATCTTGATACATCAATGAACAACTCAAAACAATTTCAAGACATTACGTGAACGTTTGCAGTCCATTCAGACTCTTGACTTCAGTATCTAGTGTGACCACCACGAGCGGCAATAACTGCAGCACAGCGTCTATGCATGGAGTGCACCGATTGATTGATGAAGGCCTTTGGCACCTGGAACCACATTCTGAGAAAGGTCTGGCGCAATAAAAAGGCTGGGTTCGGCCTTGGTATGAAATTATTCAGTCTACTCTGATTTCACCCCAAAGAAGTGCAAGTGGGTTTAAATCAGGACTAAGGGCTGGCCGCTGCATAATGTTGACACCGTTGTGCTGTAGGAAGTCCCGTGTAGCTCTGGCAGTATGGGCCCGGGCGTTATCATGCAGGAAAATGTTGTTCCGGTGACGTGCAAAATGTGGTATGACGTGGGGTCTGAGAGCTTAGTCGATGTAGCGCACCGCTGTGATGCCGCCTCCTCTCCCTGGACCAAGGTTCTGGAACACCACAGGACCCACTCTCTGGTTCAGGCCTATTCCAGGAGTCTCTTTCCATAACACATTGGTCTGAGTAACGCGTCGTCGCCATATTCTTGTTCAGCCATCTGCAGTTGATACGCAGAACCGACTCTCATCTGTGAACAGAACAGTTCTCATTGCCTGTATCGCCAGTTTTAGTGTTGTAGGGCAAACTGTAGACGTTCACGCTGATGACGAGGGGTGACGATAGGTCCACGGCAAGGTCTACGCAAGTGGAGGTTTCCGCTGTTAAGACGTCGGCGTACTGTATCAGTACTGATTGGTCTTCCGTGTGTTCCCACTGTCTGGCGTGCTGTTTCGGATGCCTGTATGAAGGGATTCTGTACATGCTGTTGCACAACATGGCGGTCTTGTCGTCTTGTGGTCACTTTTGGTCTGCCATTACGGGGGGGATCATTTGTGGTGTTGGTGGCCCGGAAACGTTGCTGCAGCCTGTAGATGGTCCGAACGTTGACCTGGAAGTGATTGGCAACGGCTTGTGCAGTGTGGTCAGCTTCCAGTCTTCCTAGCGCCTGGTTCCTCTGAGCCGTCTTGAGTAACGGCATCCTTCTGACGCTGTAATTTGAATGTTTCAACCAGGTTTGGGGATTTTTTTTATAGGGCTGGTCCATGTGAAGAGCACGTGCAGCATGAGTTGCATGAAAAAACATGGAGAACACCGTACCATCTCCGAGATCAGGTTACGTTTTTAGACCATTTTCCTGGTTTCCATTTTGAGTTTGGAAAGGAATGTGTTTGCTCAGGTAAAGTTTGAGATGTGAAAAATATACAATCAAAACATTAAATGAGCTTACAGTTATCCGTTTCTGCGAAGGAACATTCCAAACTGACGTTTCTTTTGCTGCTAAGTATATACGAAATTGGTTAAAAGCACCGAATCAAACAGGAGTTCACCAGAAATACATGTACTTTCTTCTTTGTCAGTCTGTCCCCTCCCTGATGCGGGATGTCAAGTAGCAGAGTGTAACTCCTCGTCATCATATTCGAATTGTGTACGCTGTTTCCATGGTTACCATCTACAAGGAGGATTATGTCGTATGTATAACTCAAAGCTTCTTCCGTTTTTCTGTTATTCTTGCCAGGGTCGGTGGGCTGCCTACTGGTGAAAGCGTTCGCTCGTCACGCCGAAGACCCGGGTTCGATTCACTACATGATTATAATAATGTGTGAAATAACTTTAAAAGCGTATTACGCCAAAGAAAAACAATATTTGAATTATACTTGATGTTTGCTGATACCTCTCTGTAATTGCCTATTGACAGATAATGTCTCTGGACAAGGATCAACCCCCAGTCAGTGTGCGGATCATCCCAAGGCCGACTGTGCCTCTCTACAGGCATCGCTCAACGTCTGCTCGGAACCGAGTACGGCCTGTGACTACTGCCCCCGGTACTGCAACATGTGTGACACGTGCACCCAAGGCATGCCTATCATTGGCTAATGACGTCTGAACCAGGATATAACGTTTACCTAATATTACAAATTGAATGAATACTTGTTACAGAAATTAATAAAGCCAAAGTAAATACCCATGTACTCTTCACTTGTTTATCGTTTCGTCTTAGATATCCAGTGTGGGTTGTGAGGTTGTGCGTGTGCGTGTGCGTGTGCGTGTGCGTGTGTGTGCTTGTGTGTTTATATCTTCAAGAACTGTCGGGGAAGTGGCCCTTTTCACACAGAGGATCATTGTCTGACAACATGCAGAGTACATATGCAATTATGACAATAGCACAAGCAGCTGTTAATGACCCACTACCAAATGCTGAAGATAACACGTGTTTTTAAATGGGTAAGTGTATTTTAAAACAACAAGGGAACACATACTACATGTCAAAATATGGAATTGTATCTTCATGTTAAATCTTCTGCTGTAACGGGTAAATTCTACAAACATTGACAACAGTTTCTACTGTCACTTACCTGAATTACACATCAATGCCAGAACGTCATTTTTTAGGGTCTTTGGAGGAAAAAACGTTGAACAATTTGTTTCAAAAACCAGAAACAGCAAATAAAGTTCAGAACACAACACTTTGGCAGTATATTAGTTCCATATGAACCGCTCAGATGGTTTGCAAGAGTATACTGACGTCCAGGAGAACGTTTAGACGCTTAGATTACTCAACGTCGTCAGATTTGGGATGGAAGTGTAATAGTATGGATGACATCACGACCTCATCACTGAGAAGGGCATCTCTTTGTACAAACACGACCATGTGCGAAATATGCATCATGTCAGAAAGCGCACATAAAATCCCCAAATGTTTTTCATAACCGTCATAATAAACTCGAGGACGTAACTTCACGTTGCAGCAGTATGAGGCCGCCCACGTTTTGTTGTAAAGTAAAAGACTTTGAGGCAGCGTACCTTTGATGAAGTACTGCTATGGTCGGTAATTGTTTCATCTCTCCCAATAGGACCTGTTTGGGATGAGATGGATCGATGCCAACGCTAGAATCAGAACCAAGCGTTAAAAACTTTCTCAGTTTGGCTTTGATTGACATTTGCACTAATACATCCCATCCCAGGACTTTTTCCATTATCTAGTGTCTGCAATCCCTGACTCGCTCGTAGCAACGGATATGGTGGACACAACCGATATCAAAATATATTTCTTGAGCTGTTACGTTTTTTTTTAATATGTTTTCATCCTTATCATATATTCATGACAACTGTATGTTTAATTTTGTCAGATCCTTTGTCAGAAAGTGGCCACAGTGCGGAGAGTTTCTGGACTTTTGTGAGTTCAGAATTAAATTGTGACGTGTTGTTTTCATATTGTTTCTTTTTTCCTCAGGCATATGTCATTTTTTTATGGAATCTTAAAATCCTGAGGGCTTCCTATGACAGTTCATTTGATTATGTCAGATATTGAGATAAACAGCTTCAGTAGGATTGGAAATTGATGTCATGATTTGACCGTGAGGCCATGGCAACCATTGACGTCACAGTATGTACATGTTATTGTTATACAGTTTCATTGTAGCGACCTTAAGGGAGCTATCGGTTCATGTAACCTCAAAGGTTTCTCCCGTAGATATATATATACTCAGCAGAAAAAGAAACGTCAGTACGAATTCAAAATTAGATAAGCACTGTAATCAAATCATTACAGAATTGGACATAATAAGCGGATCAAAAAATCTTTTGTGTACAATATCTTGACACATCAATGAATAACTCAAAACAATTTGAAGACATTACGTGAACGTTTGCAGTCCATTCAGACTCTTGACTTCAGTATCTAGTGTGACCACCATAAGCTGCAATATCTGCAGCACAGTGTCTATGCATGGAGTGCACCAATCGATTGATGAAGGCCATTGGCACCTGGAACCACACTCTGAGAAAGTCCTGGCGCAATAAATCGGCTGAGTTTTGCCTTGGTATGACATTATTCAGTCTCCTCTGAATTTCACACCAAAGATGTGCAATTGGGTTTAAATCAGGACTAAGGGCTGGACACTGCATAATGTTGACACCGTTGTGCTGTAAGAAGTCCCGTGTAGCTCTGGCAGTATGGGCTCGGGCGTTATCATGCTGGAAAATGTTGTTCCGGTGACGTGCGAAATGTGGTATGACGTGGGGTCTGAGGGCTTGGTCGATGTAGCGCACCGCTGTGATGCCGCCTCCCCTCCTGGACCAAGGTTCTGGAACACCAGAGGACCCACTCTCTGGTTCAGGCCTATTCCACCCCATACCGTGATGCTTGCACCTCCACATGAGTCTCTTTTACATAACACATTGGTCTGAGTAACGCTGGCCACGTCATCGCCATATTCTTGTTCTGCCATCTGCAGTTGATACGCAGAACCGACTCTCATCTGTGATAAGAACAGTTCTCCATTGCCTATATCGTCAGTGTTGGTGTTGTAGGGAAAGCTGTAGACATTCAAGCCGATGACGAGGGGTGAGGATAGGTCCACGGTAAGGTCTACGGCAATGGAGGTTCCCGCTCTTAAGACGTCGGCGTACTGTATCAGTACTGATTGGTCTTCCGTGTGTTCCCACTGTCTGGCGTGCTGTTTCGGATGCCTGCATGAAGGAATTCTGTACATGCTGTCACACAGCATGGCGGTCTTATCTTGTGGTCACCCTTGGTCTGTCAGTACGGGGGCGATCATGTGTGGTGTTGGTGGCCCGGAAACGTTGCTGCAGCCTGTAGATGGTCTGAACGTTGACCTGGAAGTGATTGGCAACGGCTTGTGCAGTGTGGCCAGCTTCCAGTCTTCCTAGCGCCTGGTTCCTCTGAGCTGTCGTGAGTCGGTTTACTTTTATATTTTATTTCTACACAAGAGGAAACTTGTGATAAGAGTGAATTTGTAACTCAACACAATTGTTTACTTTTTTCTTTTTATTCCACACAAGAGGAAACTTGTGAGAAGAGTGAATTTGTAACACTACACAATGGTTTACTTTTTTCTTTTTATTCTACACAAGAGGAAGCTTGTGATAAGTGTGAATTTGTGACACTACACAAAGGTTTACTTTTTTCTTTTTATTCTACACAAAAGGAAACTTGTGATATCAGTGAATTTGTAACACTGGTATAGTTTCAATTCAAACACTTCACAATGTTTTAATTACTTTTATGTTTTAATTCTACATATAAGAGTGACTTTGTAACTTTGAATTCGGTTTCAGTACAAACCCTACATAATGCATAAGTTTTATGTAGTATTTCTACATTAGAGGGAACTTGTGGCAAGAGTTACTTTGTAACACTAGTATTGGTTTGAATACAAACACTTTTCAATGCATGTCTTTATGTTTTATTTTTACAGAAGAGGATATAATATGTAAGAGTGACGTAGTCACACTGTAACAGTTTCAATTCAAACACTATGCAATGCTTAACTAATGTTTTATGTCTACACAAGAGGAAACTTGTAATGGTGCGACATTGTAACACTGGTATCGCTTTCAGTGCAAACTCTATAATGCATCACTTTCATGTTTAAATCCTACACCAGAGGACACTTGTAATGTAATGACGCTATATCAGTCAGTTCGTTACGACCTTGTTCGATATATTAGTATTTGGATTCTGACAACAGACTCCGATATCAGCAAAAATGTCTTATGATTACTGAAAGGATTTTTCCCTTGCATTCTTATTCACTTTGTAGCCAAAATTGTTGAAGCGAAATAAGCTGTATTGCTGTTGGGTGACATTGGACTATTTGAATGTAACGATTGAAAGTTTTCATGTCAAATGTTTGAGTCTCAATAAGGCATTATCTTCACCAAGGCCATGTCCCAGAAAGCGAACTAACTGTCATGCAATCGTCTCTCAAAAGCTTTAACAAAGGCCTTTCACAGTCGTAGAGCTTAGACCTGAGGGCTCAAGTTTATACGTCGACATGTTCTATGGATTGTTGAAGTTTCTAAATTCATAACGACAACGCAAAAAAATATACTGAGTGTTATATCTGCCGAAATAGGTTTCTATAAGACGTCGAACACAATATTAGAATACGTGTTTCTGGAGAAGAGAATACAGAATTCGGTGACAAATATACAGGCATTGACGTGAGTGGTTTTCATGGTGAAGGCATGCTTTGTGTTAGCTATGTTTATGTAACTCACAGGTTTTGTGTATCATTTTGTATGTTGCAATTGCTTGGAAAGGTTGCTAGAAAAGCCATAACTGCGTGATTATATTGACCTCATTCCAAACACGCTTCGGAGACTGAAGGGGATTCACCTGTTATGTTGTGAAACACCGCACCTTAATGTTCAAGTTGTATGACGGAGTTTTAAGAAAAGGATCACGAGAAAATAGTATTTACTTTTATAATTATAAAAATGTATTAGGTTCAGTTTTCCTTACAGAATCATAGTAAGACTTGTATTACTTATTGTGGATGACATCTGTACTGATCGACCAAATATATCTATATTTATTTTCAATTCAACCTATCCAAATTATTTGTTAGCAAGGGAAGGTAGTGGGATAATTAGTGTTTAGAGCGGCTTGTCACACCGAAGACAAGGGTTCTATTCCCTACAGGAGTACAAAATCTGATCGACCAATATATCTATATTTACTTTTATTTCAACCTATCCAACTTATTTGTAAGCAAGGGACGGTGGTGGGATAGCTTACTGGTTAGAGCGTTCGCTAGCCACATCGAAGACCCGGTTCTATTCCCTACAGAAGTAAAATATGTGAGACTATTTATGGAGCCCCCTCTCCGCGATATTCCTGGAGTATTGCTTAAGGTGGCGTTAACTTATACCAACTAACTCAATCACTCACTCACTCACTCACTCCAAGAACATTAGAATCACGCTCAATTACCTGTCTTTGTTACGAGGAAAGCCGGGGACAGGATTAATGCATGCAGACCTCTTTATAGCTAACATTGTCACACACTCGTCAATGAAACACAAAAGATATTTCGTGTTAAATTCAAATCTTAGTACACACTGAACTATATCCATTTATGGGAAGTAGTGCACATGTGGTGGCAAGTGGTCCTGTGCACAGAGCGCAGGTCACGAAGCAGTTGAAGTTAAGCAACGGCGAGCTCGGACAGTCCTTGAGAGTTTCTAGGACTTGCGTCCTGCCCCACAGCGAAGCACATGTGATACATGTGCTCTCACCTTAGGCAAATGAGTTTGTTCAAAATTGCCCCTGTTAACCAAACAGAAAATGGGAACCTGGTTGGATAAAGTCATGTTACTGTAACTCAGTCTCTTATTGTACTTTGGGGCGGTGGGGTAGCCTAGTGGTTAAAGCGTTGGCTCGTCACGCCGAAGACCCGGGTTCGATTCCCCACATGGGCACAATGTGTTAAGCCCATTTCTGGTGTCCCCCGCCGTGATATTGCTGGAATATTGCTAAAAGCGGCGTAAAACTAAACTTAGTCAGTCTTATTGTACTTAAACTTCAATACCTTAACCACAAAGCTATCCTTAATCAACGTTTTGCCATTATTGCATTGCTTATTTCTTATATCAAGTTTTTACCTCAACTCAAAGCTGTCGTCTAAAGAACAGATTCGATTCCTTTCATGAGTAACACAATGAAATATTGATTTGTTTCTTTGTTACCAATCTTGCCAATCCAAAATTGGAACGAAGGCCCTCTTGAACACAAGTAAGAAGCCGCGTTAGCAATTGCAGGAACCTGTTAATAACGGCATTATAGGGGGCTAAATAGTTTTCGTAAATTTTTGAGTGGTTCGAATATATTGTTTTTAACTGTACATTCAATAGAAAACATCAGTTTTGTAAACGTAATGTAGCATATTTAGAGTAAATGTTCTACAGGTGACGTTACAAGACAAATTAAATGGCTTAAGACGTGTACACCTCTACCAATAGCATATATGTGTTAACCATATCCCCACAGGCCACAGACGCCGACATGGGGGTCAATGCCCAGGTGAGGTATAGCATCAGCCGGACCTACCCCATGGGCCTCGATTCCCACTTCGTCGTGGGTAGCGTCACCGGTGTCCTCTCTGTGGCCGTTCCTCTCATGAACAGTGACACTAGCCAGGTTGCTGTGTTGGTGCGGGCTACGGACTCTGGCACACCTCCACTATTCTCTGATGTTAATGTTACAATTAGTCTCCTGGTGGGTAGTATATGTCATATCTGGACATATACATTCATATATATGTATAAATTAACTAAACTAAGATTATGTTTAGCGCCATTTCTTGAAGTGACAGGTCTTGGGTGTTTCAGTAGAGTTTCCCAGATTTTTTGCTTATCAAATTTGTTGTGGCAGATAGTGTAATTGAAATGGCTGGTACCACTAATAGAAGTAGAACGTACTGGCGTGTATTATACTAAGCAGCAAAAGAAACGTCAGTTTGGAATTTTCCTTCGCAGAAACGGATAACTGTAAACTCATTTAATGTTTTGATTGTATATGTTTGACAACATCTCCAACTTTACCTGAGCAAAGACATTCCTTCCCAAACTCAGAATGGAACCCAGGAAATGGTCTCAAAAACGCAACCTGATCTCGGAGATGGTACGGTGTTCTCCATGTTTTTCATGCAACTCATGCTGCACGTGCTGTTCACAAGGACCAGCCCTATAAAATGCACCCCCAAACCTGGTTGAAACATTCACATTACAACGTCAGCAGGATGCCGCGACTCACGACAGCTCAGAGGAACCAGGCGCTAGGAAGACTTGAAGCTGGCCACACTGCACAAGCCGTTGCCAATCACTTCCAGGTCAACGTTCGGACCATCTACAGGCTGCAGCAACGTTTCCGGGCCACCAACACCACAAATGATCGCCTCCGTACTGGCAGACCAAGGGTGACCACAAGACAAGACCGCCATGTTGTGCGACAGCATGTACAGAATCCCTTCATGCAGGCATCCGAAACAGCACGCCAGACAGTGGGAACACACGGAAGACCAATCAGTACTGATACAGTACGCCGATGTCTTAAAACGGGAACCTCCATTTCCGCAGACCTTACCGTGGACCTATCCTACCCCTCGTCATCGCCGTGAACGTCAACAGTTTGCCCTACAACACCAAAACTGACGGTACAGGCAATGGAGAACTGTTTTGTTCACAGATGGGAGTCGGTACTGCGTATCAACTGCAGATGGCTGAACAAGAATATGGCGACGACGTGGCCAGCGTTACTCAGATCAATGTGTTATGGAAAGAGACTCATGGGGAGGTGCAAGTATCATGGTATGGGTTGGAATAGGCCTGAACCAGAGAGTGGGTCCTGTGGTGTTCCAGAACCTTGGTCCAGGGAGAGGAGGCGGCATCACAGCGGTGCGCTACATCGACCAAACTCTCAGACCCCACGTCATACCACATTTCGCACGTCACCGGAACAACATTTTCCAGCATGATTACGCCCGGGCCCATACTGCCAGAGCTACACGGGACTTCCTACAGCATAACGGTGTCAACATTTATGCAGTGGCCAGCCCTAAGTCCTGATTTAAACCCAATTGAACATCTTTGGGATGAAATTCAGAGGAGACTGAATAATGTCATACCAAGGCCGAACACAGCCGCTTTATTGCGCCAGACCTTTCTCAGAGTGTAGTTTCAGGTGTCAATGGCCCCCATCAATCGATTGGTGCACTCCATGCATAGACGCCTGCTGCAGTTATTGCCACTCGTGGTGGTCACACTAGATACTGAAGTCAAGAGTCTGAATGGACTACAAACGTTCACGTAATGTCTTGGAATTGTGCTGAGTTATTCATTGATGTGTCAGGATATTGTACACAAAACATGTTTTTGATCCGCTTATGATGTCCATTTCCATAATGATTTGATCACAGTGCCTATCTAATTTTGAATTCGTACTGACGTTTTTTTGCTGCTGAATATATAACATGAGCTCCTCTTTGTATTGTTTATGTTTATTTCCAAAGGGTAAATGTAGGCCATCGGCCCATGGTAGATATATATCATTGGTCCACAGAGTTGCGATATTTATGTATTTATAGTACAAACAATTTCATCGTGTTTCAATATTCCAACATTAGTATTACACAAAAGGTTGTTAAACTTATGAATTGTTGGGTTTACAAAGTATTTAAGTGGTATAAACTGTTTTCTAAGATCAATGTAAGCGTTACATACAAGTAGAAAATGATATTCATTTTCGATATTACAGCTATTACAGAGTATACAAACCCAATTCTGTTCAGAAGTGGCTTTTAATCTAAATTCAAGTTCTGCCAGAAAAAGATACAGGGAAGTCTACACGTTGGGCTCCCCAGATATAGCCCAAACCTTAAGTTTTGAGCCTCTTCGTAAGCAAGGGCCAAACAATTAATTGTCTTATAAAGCAGACTGAATAGAGTAAATAGCACGCTTTGTAAAAAAATTGGCCGCCAGTATTATTCTCATGCGACACTGCTCCTGTAAATACATTCAACTGTTCTTTGTCTTAACATCGAGTCATACATGAATTCGAATATTATTCAGCTCAACTGCGCGCCCAATTTGCATGATTTTGTACCATGTTCCTTAATGTTTTCAGACACCAGGAAGCACGTGTGGAGATACAGGTAAATTTTTTCTTACTTCGCCTTCATCTCTCTCCCAGATGAGCGAATCACGCTGACTCAATGTGTCATGACATAATTCATCCACGCACAGTAAAGCGGTCAGTTGGCTGGTTGGTTAACGCCGTACTCAGCAATATTCCAGCTATATGGAGGTGATTTGTGAATAATCAAGTCCGGACCACACAATCCAATGATCAACACCATGAGCATCGATTTACGGAACTGGAATACGATGACATGTGTCAACCACGTCAGCGAGCCTGACCACCCGATCCCGTTTGTCACCTCTGACGACAAGCATGGGTTACTGAAGATCAATTCTAACCCGGATCTTAGCGGTTAGCAGTCATTAGGAAAATGAACAACTGGCATAAGATTCATTTCAATGAACTAAGTTACGTTTATTCCCGTAACTCAATGTCCTAGCCTGGTAACTTTTCTTGATTAAGCCTGTCCGCCTGTTGGGCCGATTCTACACTGTGAGGAGTCATCATCATCATGTTGCAGCAGGTGCGAGCAAGGATACTTCTGGGGCGCTGCTGCTTGTGAAGGTAGGTCCAGAATAGTCAATACAAGTCCAAGTGACCAAACCCTTTCCATATTAGAATTGATTTCCACCGTGTCGACTGCACGAGTCCGTATACATCATTGTGTTTTTTAATCCGTTTCAAACAAATTATACCAGGTGTTTGCGAAAAGGTGCGCGTGCCTGCCATAACTAGTCGCACCCATAAAAACACATGCAATGGCAGCCCCAAACACGGGAAAATGTGGTTCAAGTTAAATATTTTTCATTGAAACCTTAAATTCTAAAATTATAATTAGGCCTTTAATGACCAAATTATTTCAACTAACTACTAATCGATTTCACACTTGAACAAAGTATATTTTCTGCACAGGAAAGGCAAAATCTCCAAGTTTCAAATATTTTTATAATGTTAGCAAATGGGACCATTTGCTACCTTAGAACACAAAAATGCAAAGTTTAAATGGTTCTGAATAGCAAAACGGACTACTTCACATGCAAAGTGCCCTTCTATGCCTGAGAAACGAACCCTGTTTCCTTTTTTACATAACGGAAATCTTACATTGAAAGTCTTATTAGCTTATTGGTTGGTGTCTGTTCAAAGGACCTTTGCAAATGCAGACAAGCACGATGCTGTTTTGATCATCTTTGGGACAGTAGCTGTTCCACCTCGAATTGTTTGACGATTAGTGCTTGCGTCAGTGCACCACGTTGACGAGACACATGCTGTGGAGCCGTTTCACATTACGTTTGTGAAGGAGCAAATCTTCTATCCTTGCTGTCACCAATTGTTTAACGCCACAATGAACAATATTCCGGCAGTCTGTAAATAATCGACTCTGGACCAGGCAATCCAGGGATCAACAGCATGTACATCGACCCACGCAATTGGGATACGACAACATGTGTCAACCAAGTCAGCGAGTCTGGCCAGCCGATCCCGTTAGTCGCCTCTTACGACAGGCATGGGTTACTGAAGATCAATGCAAACCCGAATCTCCACGGGTCGCAAACATATTAGAGCGGTGTATTTAACGAACGAATTTCAAATCATATTTATTATGCCCATGTCATAAAGTTTCAGATACATTTTCATTCGATAGTGAAGACTCTCATGCTATCTTTTTTATGGCTGCCATGATGATATTCGCAAACAGCATTCCCTCCCCCACATGCTGGATGCCGTGACGTGATCTGCATGTCCCCCAGCAACGTCAGTTGTACCAGCTGTCATCCGGGCTTCTACCTCAAGGGCAGCACCTGTTTGGGTGAGATCATCGATCGTTAAAACTATATTAACTGATGCTTATCATAAACGAATTTTTAGGAATATCTTCAAAGGAGAGTTCAAACCCCTTAAATATAAATGAATTCATGTACGCAGGTTTGTAGAGTTATCGTCAGACAACTCATGGTTAGTCGACTGCAGAGAGAGGTATGGCACCAGTGATGATTATGTTGTTTTTGAAGATATCAATGCAGGATAATCAGCATATTCATGTACAGTGTCTATTCACTTCAGGCAGGTTCATCTCACTATTATAAGTGTTTGATTGTTTCAGAGGGCAGTGTAGCAGGCGATACAACTGACCCAGGTGAGCAAGTTCAGTAGAGTTAGTACTGGGGAATTACGATCCTACGTTAAGCCAGGCTCAGAGGTTACGGTTTCAGAGTTCAGATTGTCATCACCAATCACTCGCTAGTGGCTACAAGGCATCTATTCTTTGCGTTTTCCTTTCCTTTTTAAGCTTAGATCCGTATTTTAAACTCTAACTCTATTCCAAACAGAGATAAACTCACATACTTACTTACGCTTTGCTTTCGTAATTCATTATTGCAGAGGAAGCGTCAAACGTCATCTACATCGTAGTTGGAGCTGTAGGTGGTGCAGTTGCTGGCTGCTTCATTACCGCCGTCATCGTCATCGTGTGGATGAAAACCAAACCTAGAGGTGAGCAAAGGCACTACCTGTTTTACCTGTGACCAGTTAATTGTATTAATATACTACCCCATTAGTTCTACCTGTGTTTTTATGGGTTCATTAGTTCTACCTGTGACCAGAACTGTATTTATGGGTTCATAAGTTCTATCTGTGACCAGTTAACTGTATTAATATACTCTACTCCTATTGGTTCTACCTGTCAGCAGTTATTTGTATTGAACGGATTTTTCACCCGTTCATGGTAATATCAAACTCTCTGACAAGTTACACATAGTTGACGAAGCAGTATTATCATTTTCCATGCATTACGTATTGGCTATCTGGAAGTAAACTTACACAATATTAATGTGCACGTGTATGGCCAGTGTAATCTGTTAATATAACACTTACGTTTAAAGTCGTGCCCTAATGGTTAATAGCATGAGCAACAGCTGTGGCCGAGCCTGACAACCTGATCCATGTCAAGGTCGGGTGACACTCCAAAGCAGTATAGTGTTGGTATTTGTTATGACCAGAATCCCACAAGGCTTAGATCTAAAATATATTTCTGGTCTATTTGCAAAACAATAATATCACTTTTATTTCCAGAGGACAATGCTCACAACACAAACATGTATACATCGGCCTCCCATTACGAGGACATAGATAACCACTATAGTAAAGTAGAGATGCGGTACGTCAACACTAGGGCTATAACAGAGACTGGTACTCCGGATTATGTGAACGGGACTTAGAACAAAGAAGCTTCATTCCTCTCCAGCGCAACAGAGAACGTGGACGATGGAGGAAGAACACACAGATTACTGTAACATCACCCATGACAGTGCCTGTGCAAACTGAATAGGGAGATTTTAAGAAGTTTTTTGCGCCGTGCTCATGAATTATTTTCATATTTATGTAATATTCATGTTTATGTAACATTCAAAGTGTATTTGGTAACTGGCTATTTGTGCACGAACACCTGCCAATACTTATCCTTCAGTGTAACTATCTTCACCTGTGAACGGGACAAAATAACCTTTATACCACATATCAAGTTCACAACAATGAAGATTTATCAGCCTCAAGTGGATGCTCAACATCGTGATAACATTGACAAAACATTCTGGCGGAAGATACTAGTAGATGTGCAACAAACTATATTTAAAGTACGCACCTAATGAGATTTGTTTAGAAAAGAATAGTCTTGGAATACAGTCAAGATGTGAAAATGAATGAGGACCTTTTGTTACCCTTAATGTCCTGACATCTAACTTACCACTTATCAGCAGAGACTGACTTCACTTTAACCAGCACATGTTAACTCTGTCTTACAACAGGAGCGCATTCCGTTGGACTTCCACCACTACTGCCCTGAAGCAGGGTGTTCTGTTTGACTGAAACTTTATACAGCTGCTGCACACACTAAAATATGTAGCATAGTCGTTTAATACAGATTCGTTTGAAAGGTTGTGTTTCTTTTATGTTTTATTTGGTTGTTGTATAACGCCAAACTCAGCAATATGCAATCGATATGCAACAGTAATGACTGACATCATGAGTTCATGCAGAGATATCACTTGACTGGGATCAATAGATAAACCACGACACAGACCATCGTGACACCTTCGTTTACCATGACGTGTGAATAAAACCATCACTAGCCCTCTGCCACTGAACCTGATCGATCGTATTATTAACGCTATCAGACATTGCTTATTGATATACTCTCCAAAAAAGAAACGCATCATGAATATAGCAATTTCATGTAGCAATGAATTAAAACGTGATTCATTTTACAAAGGGTTTTGCTCTGTTTATGAGTCCTATGGTGTTTATGTTTTTAAACATCACAACAAAACGAACCATCCGTAAAATACCCGTATTTAACAGTGTTAATGCAAGATACACATGTTTCATTTTTCTGTGCACATTTCCCTCCTGCAGGTATTTTCACATAATTATCATTTGCATATTTCATGCATTATAAATGTCTTCCTAATGTGTACTGTCTCCATAGCACAGTGCAGCTCTTACTTCATCCTAGTATCAGCTATTACCTCCCTTGTTAGTAACCCAGCCAGCTAGGGTTCAATCCAAGCTTTCTAATAAAACTTTTGCAGATTTGTTATGTTTCATATCCCATAATACCACTTTCCTGTCATGTGACCATAAAAGCACATGTGGTACTGGGACCCCATGCTTGAGTGTGTTAGCAGCCTCCATAGCGTCAAGAGGTCTCCTCTGACTGTTAATATTAATGTAGCACACAGGAACACAAATGTAAGTCTTGCATCTTTATTGTTTCACAGTTACTATTCTATTTTGTATAAATATAATGTTTAATAGTCTTCTTTGAAGTTCATGGCCTCATAATGTTATTGTTACATGCAATATTTTCTGAAAGTGTTCAAATAATCTTCAAAGGTTTTCAAAGTTGTTAGATATGAATTTAGATGATATTTGTCAATGCATTGTATTTTATAGTCAAATTATATTACAAATTGATTCTGTTTATTCTAGTTTTCCAAACCTCATCCACTCATCCACTCATCCACTCATCACTCGACTATTTATCTTTTCATACTATGGCTAACGACCAACGTCTAACGTGTATCTTACATTTGTACGTGTCACCGTATATCAAAGCATAACGTACCATTGCAAGTATGATTCTGATGTTGCCTATACAATAGATAGAAACATTTACGTAGATGACTGTCTTGTGTCTGTTCAGGATGAAAAATCTGCTGTCACACTGATCTCACAGTTGCGATCGGCATGCGCTGAAGGGGGATTCAATCTCACAAAGTTTACCAGTAACAGTAAGCATGTCTTGTCTTCCCTTCCTCCAGAGCATTGTTCTAAAGACATTCAAGCCATAGATCTTAGCTGTGACGACATCCCCATGGAACGGGCTCTCGGTATGCAATGGCACATTCAGTCTGACTCATTCAAGTTCTCAGTTGACTTGCCAGAAAAGCCTGCTACACGACGAGGGATTTTGTCTACAATGTCTTCCCTTTATGACCCTCTTGGCCTAGTATCTCCAGTTCTACTTCCAGCCAAGAAAATACTGCAAGACCTGTGCAAGGACAAGTCTCTTGACTGGGATGATCATGTAGAAAAGAGCTTTTGTGATAGCTGGAATAGGTGGCTGTGCGAACTTGATTTGCTTAAAGATCTTGAGGTAAGACGCTGTTTGAAACCACCCGCTTTTGGTAATGTTGTCTCTTGCCAGCTCCATATATTTTCGGATGCAAGTGTTACAGGTTATGGGTGTGCGGCCTACATTCGACTCTGTAATGAAGAGAACATTCACACTGCTCTGGTGATGGGTAAAGCACCTCTCAAGGTCATCACTATTCCACGACTGGAGCTGACAGCAGCAACCACTGCAGTGAAGATCGGGACATTTCTTCAGAAGGAGCTAGACATGGCCATTGATAGTACAACATACTACACAGACTCCACAACAGTACGTCACTACATCAGCAACGAACGAAACAGGTACCCTGTGTTTGTGACTAATGGAGTAAAGCTTATAAGAGATTACACTGATCCTCAGCAGTGGAAATATGTGGACTCCCAAGGTAATCCTGCTGATATTGCATCAAGAGGAACTACATGTGCCAAGCTTTTGAAATCTTCCCTTTGGTTTGATGGTCCACCATTTCTTAGATGCTTTTAGAAGGATTGGCCTCAGCAACCATGTACTGCAAGTAATGAAACTTCAGAAACTGTTGCTATGACTATGATGAAATCAGTTGTTGCAGGAACATTGGCATCAAGTGAAGAGGACACTGTATGTAAGTTGCTCCAACACTACTCATCATGGCACAGGTTGCAACGAGCTGTTGCAATCTATAGACGATTCTTTGCTTTCCTCCAGTACAAGGCACAGACCGTAAAGGTCAGTAACCTAACGTCTGTACCGCTTACTGTCCAAGAGGTGTCTCGTGCCAGAGAAACTATCCTTAGGTTTGTCCAGCATCACGAGTACAAGTCTGAGATGAACGTATTGCTGAAAGCAGCAGATGAACGAGGCCGAGCACAGAATGTAAGCAGAAGCAGCCCATTGTACAAGTTGAACCCAGTTATAAGAGACGGTTTTCTCTGTGTTGGTGGACGCCTGAGAAGAGCCGAAATTTCTGAAGACATGAAACATCATTCTGCCCCTAAAAGAACCATGTCTCCATGTTAATCATTAGAGACACTCATGACAGGCTTGGGCATGTTGGGAGAAATCATGTTCTATCAGCCTTGAGGGCCAAGTATTGGATCACAAGGGCAAATTCTGCCATAAGAAGTGTGATGAACAAATGTGTATTTTGTAGAACATTTAAGACCCCAACCAGTACCCAGATGATGTCTGACCTTCTAGCATGTAGAGTGACTCCAGCTGGTCCATTCACCTACACTGGAATTGACTTTTGGACCACATGTTGTAAAGGAGGGAAGGAAGTGTGTTAAACGCTATGACGTGCTCTTCACGTGTCTCAGTGGCCGAGCTGTCCATATTGAAACTGCTAACTCGCTTGATACAAGTTCCTTTATTAACTCTTTTCGTCGCTTCATTGCCAGGAGGGGACCAGTTCAGGAAATCTTCTGTGATAATGGGACAAACTTTGTTGGTGGAGCTAGAGAGCTCAAGGAGTCTTTGGATCAGCTCGATCAAGAAAAAATTCATTCTGATATGCTTCACAAGGAAATCAATTTCAGCTTTAATCCTCCATCAGCAAGCCATATGGGTGGCGCTTGGGACAGACTGATCAGATCTGTCCGCAGTATTCTCAATCCCATGCTTCATGAGTTTGGATCATACCTTGACGATGAGCTGTACAGAACATTATTGTGTGAAATTGAGGCTATCCTGAACTCCAGGCCTCTTACTACAGTTTCTGGGGATCCAGACGACCTTCACCCCCTCACTCCAAATCACATCCTTATGATGAAACCTGATGTGTTTATCCCACCGCCTGGCACATTTCAGCAGAATCATGTGTACGCCCGCCAGCGTTGGAAACGTATTCAGTATCTGACCAACGTCTTCTGGTCCAGATGGAAGAAAGAGTACCTTCAGTCTCTGCAACAACGACAAAATGGAATTGTCCTAAGAGGAACTTTCAACTGGACGATGTTGTGCTTATCAAGGATGACACTTTACCCAGGAGTGCATGGTCCATGGGTCGTGTAATCCAGACTGAGGTGGATACGCATGGCACTGTCAGAAGTGTTTTGTTGAAAGCAAGAGGTGCAGAGTTACGACGACCTATTCACAAGCTGGTTCTGCTCGTCCCATCGGGCTCAGCACAGGTTGGCATGTGAGGTATTGATTAAACTTTGCATTATATGTGTATTTATTAAACTACCCTTGGTATGTTTAAGAGGCCAAGTATGTTAATGCAAGATACACATGTTTCATTTTTTTCTGTGCACATTTCCCTCCTGCAGGTATTTTCACATAATTATCATTTGCATATTTCATGCATTATAAATGTCTTCCTAATGTGTACTGTCTCTGTAGCACAGTGCAGCTCTTACTTCATCCTAGTATCAGCTATTACCTCCCTTGTTAGTAACCCAGCCAGCTAGGGTTCAATCCCAGCTTTCTAATAAAACTTTTGCAGATTTGTTATGTTTCATATCCCATAGTACCACTTTCCTGTCATGTGACCATAAAAAGCACATGTGGTACTGGGACCCCATGCTTCAGTGTGTTAGCAGCCTCCATACCGTCAAGAGGTCTCCTCTGACTGTTAATATTAATGTAGCACACAGGAACACAAATGTAAGTCTTGCATCTTTATTGTTTCACAGTTACTATTCTATTTTGTATAAATATAATGTTTAATAGTCTTCTTTGAAGTTCATGGCCTCATAATGTTATTGTTACATGCAATATTTTCTGAAAGTGTTCAAATAATCTTCAAAGGTTTTCAAAGTTGTTAGATATGAATTTAGATGATATTTGTCAATGCATTGTATTTTATAGTCAAATTATATTACAAATTGTTTCTGTTTATTCTAGTTTTACAAACCTCATCCACTCATCCACTCATCAACTCGACTATTTATCTTTTCACACTATGGCTAACGACCAACGTCCAACGTGTATCTTACATTTGTACGTGTCACCGTATATCAACGCATAACGTACCATCGTTTACCATCAACGAATAAAACCCTGTGGATGCGAGTTCTTGGTGAATTGTTATTCTTGCGTCTACAAACAGCATGATTTTCAAATTCGGCGTGTAGTGTCACAGAACACAATTCACATGCAATGCACGTGAAAGTTGGGGATCAGATAGTCTCAATGATGGGTATAAAAGGTTGATCGCTGTCTGTCGATTATTCACTGTATTTGGAATATTGTTGACGAACGCAAAATGTCACGTCTAAGTGAAGCCAACCGTCATATCGCCATTGGTTTGCTTGAAGCTGGCCAGTCTTAACGTGCAGTTGCCCGACGCATGAATGTTCACCAAAGCACCATTTCACGGCTCTGGGAGAGATATCGCCGGCAGAATGCGGTAGCAGATGCCCCTCGTAGTGGGCGACCACTGCGGCGCAGGATCGCTACATCCTGGTACCGCTCGACAAATACCCGGATTGAGGAGGCTTTCTGCACAGACCGTCAGGAACAGGTTGAGAGAGGCTGGTTTTCGTGCCAGAAGACCTTATTTTGGCCCTGTGCTTCGACAACAACATCGTCGACATCGAGTTCAATGGTGCACCAACGTTCAGGCCTGGAACCTACCGAATTGGCGTAGAATCTGGTTCAGTGATGAATCACGATTTCTATTGGAACGACGCGATGGAAGAATGCGGGTGTACAGACGTCGACGTGAACGTTTCGCCGACGCTTGCGTTCCCCAGGTGGACAGATTCGGCCGGGGTGCGACGCCGTAACCCTCAGCCCCAGACGCTTCAGCAACTCGCACAGGCACTACAGGCAGAGTGGGCTGCGATTGGGCAACACGAGATTCTGAGACTTATTCGTTCGATGCCGAGGCGATGCCGTGCAGTTCTGGATGCCCACGGTGGTCACACGAGGTATTGATTTCAGCGCCACCACACGTCTCCATGTGACACTCAAACTGACTTTCCTCGAGTTGGTGCCACAGACGGATAAGTCTGCATTCTCAGTGTGCAATTTCGCTATATTTCATTGACTCATAAAGCCTACAAGATGTTTCAAAATAAACATAAAAAATACAGTTGAAATTCCTATATGCGTTTTCTTTTTTGGAGAGTATATTTACAAAATGAAAAAGTTGAAGGATAAATAGACATTAAAATATATTTTAAAACTTGAATCAAGTCGTCCTGACATATTTGAACTAGAAAGCAGGCCTCCGCAGATATAAAAAGAACGATGAATTTCACGCTGTATTTAAATTTTTGTCTTTGGCATATTATCACAAACACCACAATTTGAAATCTCAAACAGTGACACGTGGACAAGCACAACAATGAATACAATTTAGATAATGTCAGCAACACCATGCCTGGAAGATAATCAATAAAACATTACACATTGACTACATAATTAAAGAAGTGTGAGAAATATGCATATTGAGAATAAAAAGGATGCAGTGGTGTTTATGAACTCAACTATTTCTGTGATAGCAGGGTGTACCTGTAAGCCAGATAGTACAGACATATTATTAGTTGAAGTCGTCCTATATTCATATTTAATCAGAGGGTTGAGATAACGACTCATATCTACACAACGACCCCAGGTAGGATGCACCACTCCGGTCCCAACATTAAAGTGGGCATGTGATCAAGAATCCATTACTAGAGATACTCTTACACGGGTACTCATCACAGCAAAAGGAAGCAGTACAGGTATGTACCCATTGAATACTTTTCTTGTGCAAGTTAAGATGAACGGAGCTGTGAAGTGTTTGTCGTATACTACAGATCCGGGGTGAGTTAGGTACATGGTTAGAAACTGCCAAGTTATTTGTTGTGTGCCTCGCCATTACATGGCTGAAACATTACCTTAATAAATCTTTTTAAATTGTGTGTACACTAGGAATGTTTTTTCATTAACACCTTCTATAGTGAGACAATAATCAGGCTAATAACACATATTGACGATGCTTATGACTTCATGGTGTCATTATGGAGTGAAATCGATTTTGGCCATGGTGCACATCACTGTAATAATCTTCATCCGTATCCTCAGATGTTTTTGTTGGAACAACTCTAACCCTAACCCATAACACTTGTTCAGGCCCCGATTTCTTGAAACAAAGTCAAGTCTGAGTTTTGACTTAAGTTTTTACTCAAATTTGAGAAAATGCAGGAAAATGCATTTCCCAGAATAAACTGACATTGATATTTAACTCAAACATTCATCAACAATTATGTTTAATTCATCACTTTTCAATTTGTTAATACATACACATAGCTTCATATAAAAGCCAGAGTCAAAAAGAGTCAATTTTAAGATTTAATAGGTTGATCTCCCCCACCTAAGCCTAATATATTACCTAATTTAAGTTCACTTATCTGCATATTGTCCCATTTGTGGGACGGTACTTTGGCGGAACATTTAGTATAGAAAACATGCAAACCACTTTAATTTTCTATTTTCTAACGAAAGTTTTAAACACATTCTAATGAACTTACATAGTTAAAATAGGAACCGTTCCTAGTATGGTGATCTACCTTCAGTTGTTGGCGATCTATAGCCAGTTTTTATATTGTATTGTCTAAATAGTGCTATCATGTTTTAACTTTCCACGCTAGTTTTAGTTGTAATTGTGATATTCTAGTTGTTTTACTGTCCTTCGTCGACAGGTTTTTGTAATATACATATCTTCCATTTCAATGTCACATATGTTCTCGTCACGATATGGCTGAAATATTGCCGATGTGACGTTAAATATTAACTCACTCGCTCACTCACTAAAATAGGAACCAATTAAAATATCATCTTATCTCGCACTTCACCGAACTTAAACTCTACAAGTAATGTAAATGGTGCAACTACTAAACAATTTTCTCAGCTTCATTCTCGTCTATACTGCAAGTTTCTATCTCCACCAATACGAGAGAAATGCTTTTTGAAGTACCCGTCCCAAAACGGGACGATGTGCATAATTGGGGTAAAACTGTATCAACTACTTGAAAATGCCTTTGCCTTCATGGAAAGTGTGACCTTTCTTCATTTTCATCAGTTATTCTACATTTTGTCCAGTGAAATTGGGGAAGCAGCATCTGTTTGACTAAAGCTAAGGAAATAAAAAATTCAATAAAGTAGTCCTCATTCTAGTTTTATCAATTTAAGTAAGTAGCTTTGCATTATATAAAAATATATATTATTACATCCATATATCGTACATAGTTTAGAATATAAATAGGCGCATAAGTTGTATGTTGAAAAATAATCAGTGATACCACGGTTATCCGTGAGGGATATTTTCAGTTAGACTCGATGAACATCATGATATTTTTGGTTGACTATATTAAGTGACTGTTTAGATATCTGGGTTTTACAATGGCAATAGCAGCATGTGGCTATTAAACTAAACAATATTTTTGTTTGTTTAATTTAATTAATGTTCTGTGTTTTAATGTGCTTCCATCAAAGGTGGACTTGGCTCTGCAAAATTAGCACCACTTTGTCTGCTACAGGTAATTCTGCTGAGGTTTTGTATAAAGCGAGGAGTTACCTGAAGAAACAATGTGTATGTGCCCACAAGGTATTGGCAACAAGGTATTTCGTTGGACTAATTAAGAGTATTACTATGCTGCACCTTTTAAAGACAACTCCTTTTGATTCCAGCTGTTCTTCAGGGCTGCACAAAGATGCCGGGTTCAAAATGGACTCTCTTAATTGTCCTTTTCTCTCTCTGCAAGGGTGAGTCATTTAGTGTGCCATTTATAATTGGAGTTCATAACGTATCATAATTGTAGATATGAAGGAAAGTGTTCAAGAGGTCTCACGATCACATGGCCCACTATATGCCTATATAATCGATTTTGTTTATGATGACAGGAAAACCACGTTTTAAGTTGCTTTACAAGATGCTGGACTGTATTGTTTCCAGGAAGAACGTCCGTTCATTAAGAAGCCAAAAATTATGTGAGTCCGTGACAGCAATCTCAGAGACTGTGTGCAATTTACATATGTGAAATATGTACATGTATGACACTTACGTCTCAATCATGGTTGTTTCAATAGGCACATTGTTGTTTTGTCTCAGTAATATTCATTAGAAGTACACCTTCTAATGCCTGCGTAATCTTTTGCCATCCAGTTTAATCAGTTTCCAAGTTTGTGTTTTGCTTTGGTAATTTAATTTTTTCGTGTTTTAACATTATCAGTTTTTCATTGTAAGATTCATGTTTGGGGTATTCTAAGTTGATAACGTAGTTGTTTCTGATCATTGTGACAGTTAAAACCCATAACGATACAAGGGTTATTTTCCTCCATCATTCATCATGTGTTGTATATGTGAAGCTTGTAATGGCTGGCCGCCAAGCAATGTTACTTCTGATGCCCAGAAGCCGAGCTTGTGTTTATTAAAGTCGATATAAAAGTTAAAATAGAAAAAGAATATGTCATTATTTGTCTTGTTAACTCCCATTAGGTCCACGGAACAACTTGTACCTCAAAGTCTGGCCATAAAATCAGGATGACAACTTAATCGACCAATCTCTGACAATGCTACATAAATGCGATGCATATACGTTATAACTAAAATGTTGATACGTTAACTATTTTGTCATTGGTCTCCGCGTGGTCACGTGTTGAGGTCAAACAAGGGAGGAAACTCTGATAGCCGTTTTAGTACTACTCATCTTTATGCAGGGAAGCATATAAATCGCATGAGGTGTCCAACTGTTATCAACAAAAAACAAAACATGACGTAAACATTCTTGGGATATACCCTTTTAAATAGGGTAATAATCAAATATTGTAAGGGCAGAGGTTTTAAATATTATATGTGAGTGTTTTCTGTGTTTAAACTTATGCATAGTGTATCGATGTTTAGGCGATGTTCTTCGTTGTTCCTTTTACAGTTTTGGTTTGTTTGCCGCCAGTATTTGATCGGATAAATCCAATACAAGTACCAGAAAACACACCTGCAGGTAAGCTGACACATGGATATGACCACAGTGGACGGTGATCTGGTCAAATGTCATTGAATGAAGCTATTACTGGAAAACAAAAACGTCATAGCTCTTGTCGGCACACACGTATGAGACATCTTGAGTAAAGTAGAATGTGTTTGATAACTCAAAATCATATGATCTTTGCAACGTATGAGAACTCATGTTCACACATATGTTCATATGATCTGCATACACGAATGTTCATCACATTTGTTCAATATGATATGTATACATGAATGTTCATAAAATCTATGAATGTTCATCACTATGTTGATATGGTCTACTTATTTTCATCACATATATATGTTCATATGATCTACTTACACGTATATTCATCACATATGTTCATATGATCTGCATACACGTATGTTCATCACATATGTTCATATGATCTGCATACACGTATATTCATCACATATGTTCATATGATCTACATACACGTATATTCATCACATAATTTAATATGATCTACTTTCTCGTATATTCATCACATGTGTTCATATGATGTGCATACACGAATGTTCATACCTATGTTCATATGATCTGCATATTCACGTATATTCATATGATCTACATATGTTCATATGATGTTCATATGATCTCATACGTATATTCATCACATATGTTCATATGCTCACGTATATTCATCACATATGTTCATATGATCTGCATACACATTATATTATTCATCACATATATTTCATATGATCTGCATCTACACGCACGAGTCATCACCTATTTTCATATGATCTACATACATGGGCACCCGTGAAGAGCCACCTCCTCGTGGTGGGTGCTGGGTAACGCTAAGCGCTCTTCGACCCCCCGTTGTGGACCCAGGGGTTGTTTGGTCCACCAACCTGTTGGCCGTGGGTTGCGCCCCTGTGTTGGTGGAGGACGGGAGTCTGGTGGTTGAGGGCACTGGGTCCAGGAACAGTGTTCCTTTGCCCAACCACCGCTTCGACTATGCGCTGCCTCAGACGGGTGGTTGAATGGGCCTGAGTTCAAGCAATCGGCTGGTCACGCCATGCCCTGCGCATGGAAACATTCATTTTGAAATTGTGCAATTTCAACATTATTGTGATTGATTAAAATGAATGTCATCAATAAAATGTTCTATTGAAATTTGCCTAGAGTCCTATGCCAGAAGGCGGTGGCTCATGGGCCAATCTGGGAATAGAGACCTCTGAATTCTGTGTTTCTCCAGAAAGGTGTCAAGGGCGAACCAGTCTGACATTTATTCTGTTAGATTTGACAGCTTTTCAAGTATTTATTTGCTGGAGTATAACATCCCTGTAACCCTGGTGGAACATGCTGGTTTCCGCTGTACCACCGTCCTTGTTGGCACTCCATGGTGGGTGGGGAGCAGGGACGTTGAACACTTTTCCTACGTCATGGCTCTTGAAGGACGTTACACGGCTTCGAAATGGCTCGCTCTTAGTGGAATGTACCCGTTAACAACAATCGGTCAATCTGTTGAAACTAAAACAATTTGTGAATAAACCCGTTGTTGTGTCAGTGCACAGAACGTTGAATTCCTGCTGAGGTATAGTCAGAGACAGGGCCCGTTGCCTTTCTGATATGAATGAGGATGACATCGTCAATGAACTAAAAAACCAGGGCGTAACCGCAGTAAAGCGTTTTTCGAAAAAGAATAATGATGGCACAATTGTCAAAGTGAATACGTACTTGTTTACGTTCTCACTTTCCGCACTACCAAAAGAAATATAAAAGCTGGGTACTTTAACATCTGGAGTTGACGTGTATGTTCCAACTCCGCTCCGATGTTTCAAATGCCAAAGGTTTTGGTCATGGGGCCAGGTTCTGCCGTAAACACCGCTGTATGTTCCCGTTGTGGTGGTGCACGCGAACTCTCTGAGTGCATAATAGCATCAAGTGTGCTAACTGCAGCGGAGGACACTAAACTGCATCGAAATCATGCCCTTCCTATGAGAACGTGGAGACTAAGATTCAAAGATAAAACATACCAACAATGATTTCTTATGCTGAAGCTAAAAAAGCAGGTAACTGTTTCAACCAATTCAACAATTTCATATTCTAACTGCAGTTTCTTCTCGTGTCAATAGTTTCAGACCTACCATGACATCAACGTCGTGTCATAAACGTCAATATCCTGGGTTAATAGACAATTAACAATAGATGAGGCAATTCAGACCTCTCAAATGGGCAACTCTCTAGTGTTTCGACATCGGCATCCCAGACGGAGACTGTCTCATCGCTGCCTTCAACAGATCCTGCGATGCATCTGAACCAGAATTGTGCCACAAATTCGAATGCACAGCACTGATAAATCATCACAAAATGAGAAAAAGAAAGAAAATCGAGGTTGGACAAGGGGCCTCCAACATTTGGAGGTGCCTTCCTCTCAGTCGTCCCCTATAAAGGTTCAAAATCAATTTGAACCTTTGGAGATGAAGGTCAATCCCTCTTTCCCAGTCCCTAGGAGTAGAGACCTCCTCCAATCCACGATCTCAATTGATCCTCCATGATTGGCTCAAATAACACTGTTCAGTGGAATTGTAGAGGACTAAGAAATAATTTTAATGATTTACAACTACTAATACAAGATTTCACACCATCGGCATTTTGTTTACAGGAAACCTATCTCAAAACCACAGATCAATTTGATATACGGCAGTATACTTCATATAACTTCTTTTCTCCTCCGAGACTCCGAGCTACTGGAGGTTCTTCAATATTGGTGCGACAGGGTGTTATACACAGCCCTGTTCCCCTAAATACAACACTTCAGGCTGTTGCAGTCAGGTTGACTTTACACGTTGCCTTTACATTATGCTCCCTTTATGTGCCTCCATCTTCCACTCTTCACCAAACTGATCTTCAGGCTCTTTATGACCAGCTCCCCAAACCGTGTATCATTATGGGTGACTTGAACGGTCATAATCCTCTTTGGGGTAGTTCTGATACAAAGAGAAATGGGACAGTACTAGAAGATTATATTTCAAACAACGATCTGTGTATATTTAATGATAACTCACTACACAGATCTGTTAAATGAATTTAAATGGTCAGTCCATAGCGACCTGTGTGGCAGCGACCATTTTCCGACCATTCTTAAAACAATAACTCCTGCTGATGTTGCTCCATCATCAAGATGGAACTTCAACAAAGCAAACTGGCCTTTGTTTGAATTCCTCTGTATTGACAAACTAAATCCTGCTCGTTTTATTGATGCTCTTGATTCAGTGCAATTATTCTCTGATGAACTACACAAAATAGCCGATGAGTGTATTCCTAGGTTCTCTACAAATCCACATATACGTAAACCATGGTTTAATAATGACTGCAATCAAGCTAGAAAGGCACGGAAAAAAGCTAAACAATATTTCCGTGGCCACCCTATGGTGCATAATTTAGATAAATAAAAAAAAATTTAAACGCTAGAGCACGTCGAACATTTAAGCCAAATAAGCGCCAGTCTTGGGAAAATTACGTTTTGAAAATAAATTCACGGACGCCGATGTCCAAGGTATGGAACATGATCCAGAGAATTAAAGGTAAGGGAACCAAATCAAGCATTAATCATCTCAAAACTGGGGACCAATTGTTAACAGATAAATCTGACATCGCAAATAAACTGGATGAAACACTTGCAAAACATTCTTCCTCGTCAAACTATGTTCCTAAATTTCAAAAATACAAAAAATTGCAAGAAACGAAACAAATCAATTTTCATTTGGATACTGGGGAAGACTATAATGAAATCTTTTCTATCCACGAGCTTCATACTGCTCATGAACAAGCTCACAATACTGCAACAGGAGCTGATAACATTCATTATCAACTCCTGAAACACTTACCTGAATCCTGTTTAGAAACACTATTAAATATTTTTGACGACATGTGGACATCTCGTAAATTTCCTTCATCTTGGCGTGATGCCATTGTTGTACCCATACCTAAACCTGGACGTGATCATACCGATCCCTCAAATTATAGGCCATTTCCTTGACCAGTTGCGTTTGCAAAACCATGGAACGCATGGTCAATAACAGATTAACTTTGTACTTAGAGTCCAATAATTTAATCACAAATATTCAATGTGGTTTTCGTAAAAATCGCAGTACCATTGACCATTTAGTTCGATTGGAGTCATTCGTAAAGAATGCCATTCTTAACAAGCAGCATGCAGTGTTAGAGAAAAGTGTTCGATTTAGAGAAAGCCTATGACACGACATGGAAGCACGGCATTTTACAATATTTACATGATTTTGGTTTACGAGGCCGTTTGCCTCAGTTTATATCCGAGTTTTTAACTGATAGGCAGCTTCAAGTCCGCGTGGGTTCTACCCTGTCTGACCATTATAAGCAGGATCAGGGTGTCCCACAAGGTAGTATTTTGTCTGTCACATTGTTTAGTGTTAAGATCAACAGTTTATCAAAGGTCTTAAGTGATTCAATCGATGGGTCACTTTTTGTGGATGATTTTAATATTTCTTGTCGTGGTAAAAATATGCATACTATTGAACGGCAACTGCAGTTGTGTTTAAACAAAATAGATAAATGGTGTCTTGAAAACGGCTTTAAATTGTGCTAATTGTATCCATTTTTGTAGAAAATATAAACCGCATAAAGACCCTGAACTGTTTCTAAATGGCTCTCCCATCAAAGTTGTTAAGGAAGCCAAGTTCTTGGGTTTAATTTTTGACTCGCATCTAACTTTTCTTCCACATATCAAGTCCCTTAAAACTAAATTCCTGAAGGCACTTGACTTGTTGAAAGTCGTTTCCAATTCTTAGTGGGGAGGGGATCAAGCTACCCTCTTACAATTATATCGATCATTGGTCCGTTCCAAACTTGATTATGGCTCCATCGTATATGGTGGAGCCTGCAAAAGTAACCTAAAACGTTTAGATTCTGTCCACCACCAAGGTCTAAGACTATGTCTTGGTTCCTTTAGAACTTCACCTGTTGACAGCCTCTGCGTGGAGGCTGATGAGCCATCTCTTACACAACGCCGTATAAAATTAACTTTACAGTATATAACAAAACTTTATTCCGATGGAGTCAAACCCTGCATATAACTGTGTCTTTTAATCCACTATATGAAGATCTGTATAACAAGGGTGTCTTCTTGTTCCACCTCTTGGTATAAGGTGAAACCTTTCCTTTCTGCTGCTGCTGGCGCTGGGCTAGAACATATAGCTCCTTCCCGTCTTATTTCTTCTCCTCCTTGGCAATTGACGCTTGAGGCCACAAGTTGACCTTACACTGACAACATTTAAAAAATCAGAAACAAATGAATTACAATATAAACAAGAATTTAATCAATTAAAAACTAAATATACTACATACAAATCCTTATTTACAGATGTGTCCAAGGATGGTGGTGCGGTTGCTTGTGCCACCGTTATTGGATCCAGAACAATCTCTTCTCGATTACCAAATAACAGATCTATTTTCACAGCAGAAGCTAACGCCATATTAACAGCTCTTAAATATATCAAAAACTACCGTAAATATAAACAATACATAATCTTTCTCTTTCGTGTCTTCAGGCTATTAAAAATCTTTCTTGTAAACATCCACTTTTATTAGAAATTATTGAATTGTATAATGACCATGCTACTGGCCAATGCGAAATTGTCTTTTGCTGGTTACCCAGCCATGTTGGCATTTCTGGGAATACAATGGCCGGTCTTACTGCTAAGGCAGCACTCAACAAACCTGTGACACCACTTCTGATCCCATACTCTGATTACAAAGCTGCTATTAGATCTTATATCCGTGATCTGATGCAGAAGAAGTGGGATACCCAAGTAGGCATAAATAAATTACATGCTATAAAACCAGCTATCGGTTACACCTACTTGGGTGTCAGTCCAGATTTGAAGAGGTCATCATACGATGATGTCGTATTGGCCACACACGATATACTCATGAGTACCTATTAAAAGGTGAGGATCCTCCGTTTTGTATCCCTTGTGATGAAAGAATCACGGTCAAGCATGTCCTGCTTGACTGTGGTGAATATTCCATCACAAGGGATAAGTATTTCAATGTCAAAACATTTAAGGATCTTTTTTATAATGTTAGTTTTTAAAAGAATTAGATTTGTTGACTGATCTGTAAATAGCTAAATATTTTATTATTGGTAGTTTAGATTAGAAACTGAGATTGTTAGTGGCTGTACCCCAAAAGGGGGTTGAAGAAGCGTAAAAATATTGTCCTCCCGAGAGGGTACGTAAGCCCCAAAACTTTCAAAGTAAAATATAAATTATCACATTTTAAACGTAGTATTTTTGTTATTTTAACTGTTGGCTAAATTTTCCTACAATCGCCAGCGGCTGAAGGGATGGTGTAAATTCAGCTAGGATCCATGCAGGTAGGAAAAGTAATGTAAGTCCCCATGGTTCCTAGTATGGTGATCTACCTTCAGTTGTTGGCGATCTATATCCCATTTTTACATTGTATTGTCCACAAATAGTTTTGTACTTTTAAAGATATATGCTAGCTAGTTTTAACTCAATCTGTGATAATCTAGTGGTTTTACTGTCCTTTGCTGACAGGGTTTTATATATCATATGTATGTATTATGAATTTCGAACTAGTTTTAGTCACGATATGGTTGAAATATTGCCGATGTGACTTTATATCTTAACTCTCTCACTCTACATACACGTATATTCATCACATATGTTCATATGATCTGCATACAATTCTATTCATTATTTATGTTCATATGATCTGCATACACGAAAGTTCATCACATAAGTTCATCATTAATATGAATTCCGAAAATTATAGCAGATTATTTTCATGTGTGTAATTACAGTGCACATAGGCCAGCACCATCTGCCAATCTATTCCAGGTACCGCTATCGGTGTTCTGACTGTGAGAGATGCAACCCCTTCCCACGTCACAGTGACAATGTCAACGACAACACAACAATACGTGTATTTAAATCAGCATACCAGCATCTCTGGCTTCTATAACGCCAGTATAGTTCTGCAGAGACAACTGGACTACGAAACAGTAAGTTCCACCTGTATATCTTCCACACACTATGTGACATTATCAGAGGGATATGTCAGTGTGGCCAGGATTTTTCAAATGTGCTTATCACATGAATAGTACATTTAAATTCATGCTGAAAACCAGCGTTTTAACTTGGGTAAATATTGGGTGTATAAGAAACATATTTCCCTCACTTACTAGCGGTAAAGAGCGGAGTAAGAGCGATGCTGCCAGAATTATTAACTGGATTCGATTCATATGCTCATTACTGCAATATCCACGAGTCAGTGAGTAAATAATTTGGCATCATTAATTTTGCATCTATTAATGCATGTTATTCCTGTATATCTAATTTTGAGAACAATCCTTAAAGGGGCACTGATCCAGAGCGTTAATGTATACAATCTAATTACGAATCTAGCTGCAAGCCTGTCCCTGCTCCGTCGACCGGGACGGAGTGGACTACTGTCCACAAGCATAATGAATTAAGGTCTGATCTGACAAATGTATTACATGTTGTGTAACATGCGCATGGAAGTGAAGCAAGAGGAATTATCAGCTGAGTTACAAAACACAAACATCGATCAAAGGATCAACCGATAGCACGCTGGTTGATTAATTACTTTTATCTTGCACAGCGGATTTGTCAAAAGGTAGTGTTTATGTATGTAGATTTACTAACGTTCACTGACTATACCCAATTCTGTCGTAAAGTGCCTTTGTAAAAACAACGTCCTTCCTTCAAAGGATTAACCGCCAATACCTTGACTGATCATTGCTGTCCAACTAAATTACATTTTTAAAGAATGGTGGACATCATGCAAATAGTTGTCAAAACCTGAAACAGCCACGTGACCAGTTGAGGAACTATCACTAATTATGACGTTCTATCACTTTTTCGCTTATTAGAGACTGTTAAAAGACACATGAAATAGATCAGGATTCTTTGTCAGCTGCAGATGAATGGCATATCGTTCCGTTATGTTGATATTGATGGATACATTAATCGAACAAGATATTAGCCGATATTATTGCTAAATCTTTTGTCTGTTTTAATTTTGATATTTGTATTTTGTTTTTAATCATTTGTTGTAGCATTCAACAGAATAATTTTCCCCGTGAAGTGTAATGAGACAGACAGCATACACTAGGTCGCACTTAGGGTGTGTTTGTGAAATATGATTCACGTTGACAATCTATAAAATGTCTAGACATTACAGTCATCTTATAAATTAACTATTAACAGATAGTGTACTGTCCAAGATATTTTTATGGATTAAACTTCTTTTCAATTTCTCTCACGACGTTTCGAGACCATTCCAGGTCCCTTCATCAGGCGGACTGACAGTTAGGACTATGACGTCGTCACTATGACGTCATAACTGAGTTATGACATCACAATGCATATGACATCACAGTACACTACTGTATAAGTGAGTTTGAAGAGTTAATTACATAATGATGAACATTCATGCTAAATAATAGAGTTGAAAGTTGAATTGTCAATACACAACAACTGCTAATTACACAAAGGTTACTTGATAGCAGGCTTTCCAAAAACAATAGTAGACTCGTTTTTCTTTTACCTAAGGTTAATCAAGAGGTCCCACGCACTTGGCAGGTATACACCTTGATCACGATTCATTGCTGGTTTATGCCTCCTTATCTCCACAGCCTCCTGTAGTTTTCTCCGACTCCAGTCGTTGTTATTTCTCGAAAGCACCCTGATATCATTCCACATGATTACATGACTTGGGTTATTTGAATTGTGCTCCGATATAGCTGACTTAGCATTTTGTTTGCATACTGACAACTTGTGTTCAGCAACCCGGTTGTTAATGGGCCTGAGAGTCGCGCCAATATATTGATTGCCACCCCTGCGTGGTATTTGATATACACATCCTCTATGGTTGGGGCTTCCATTGCTAAATCCTCTTCCATTTGTCCGGAGAAGTGTCTTAATTGTTGTACCGCTAGAGAAAGTTACATCAAGTGATGTAACTTTCTCTAGCGGTACTGTGATGTCACTTGCATTGTGACGACAGAACTCAGTTATGACGTCATAGTGACGACGTCATAGTCCTAACTGCCAGTTCGTCTGATGAAGGGACCTGGAATGGTCTCGAAACGTCGTGAGATAAATTAAAAAAGTAGTTTAATCCATAAAAATATCTTGGACATCAATGTACAACCTCTAAATGCCACTGAAAGACATCAAATAGTGTACTGTTTATTAAGTTTCAAATGCATACAAAAATAATAATAATTAGGATTATATGACAAAATATAAAGACGTACATTGACATCGTTATTTTACAGTCCTAACATTTTTTACGACTGGCAGATGTAGTCAAACTTCAAAATGTTTTCATGTGTTATGGAGATGGAAATATTAATGAGTAAAAAAGTTTTCATCTTTGGGGATCAATGCATACTACCAATTGCGCTTGGTGGTGGCGTATCAGAGATTGCAAACCAGTCAAGAATTCTGGGACATCATCCGGGTACTCACGGAAATAAAACAATTACAAAAGCAACAACCAGTCCACAGAAATTGCTCTGGATCAGTGTCTCTTTAAATTAACGTGTTCTGATGCTGAATATTTATTCTTAAATTCAGGATGGAAGCTCGCTGAGACTGCTCTTTACAGCCACAAATCCATCAACTCCGGTAAGTAGACTTGTTAACTTCATGACAACCTCTTTCCATCCTCTCATATATGAACTTAGTAGATTTGAAGCATCGTAAGATGTCGGATATTTTATTCAATGATTGAGTTCTTAGCGTGCACGAGTTATTCAAATACATTGGTGGTGTACATATTTACTGTTAGGAATTCCTTTGATCACATTTCCCACAGGGTAAGTTAAAACGAGCATATACAAACATACTTGCAAAACATGTACTTGTTTGTCAAATGTATGTTAATAGTTAGCCAGAACACGTGTTAGCCCTCTAGATTTCATTTATATACTAGAAATTTAACTGCCGTACTTTCACACAGAATTTCAGGTTATTTGAATCATAAAATTTAAAACTTAAAGCGTTACAATATTAACACTTGTATGTTCATTGGTGTGAAGGACGGAGTCCGTCAAAACATGACCGTCATCATCGGAGACGTCAATGACGTCCACCCACAGTTCCAGGGGCTGCCCTACTCCGTCTCTGTCCCAGAGGTTGTATAACTTTTGTTGTACTCGTCTGTATTTACTGGGTTAAAAGATACTACCTGAATCGAGCAATATTCATTATTGTTATGAACGCCAGGGTCTTTTTCTTTTACTCTTCTCCAAAATGCCGATTAATGAGTCACATGACGAAGTTTCTGAGCTGATGGAGTCATTTCAAAATGTATGTTCCCATACCCGCAATCGTTGTGGATTATACATGTAGATAACTTGCTCATTTCAGAATGAACCCATCAACACTGTCATCTTAATAGCCAGAAGTACTGATCCAGACACAGGGATAGGGGGTTTAGTTGACTACACCATGAAGGTACATGCTAGTCTAGCCATATATCCAATATCCAGCAGAAGCACGTTCTCACAGTATAATGAAGCATTTGGGTGAACCTTCGTTGAGTACACGCTGAAGAGTAATGGACTGACTGACTGACTGACTGAGTTTGGTTTTACGCCGCTTTTAGCAATATTCCAGCAATATCACGGCGGGGGACACCAGAAATGGGCTTCACTCATTGTACCCATGTGGGGATTCGAAACCGGGTCTTCGGCGTGACGAGCCAACGCTTTAACCACTAGGCTACCCCACCGCCCCATAGAGGAATGGAGTCAGATCAGTGGAATGAATGAATGAATGAATAGTTAAAGTTTTCACTTCTTATATGAACCCATCAACACTGTCATCTTAATAGCCAGAAGTACTGATCCAGACACAGGGAGAGGGGGTTTAGTTGACTACACCATGAAGGTACATGCTAGTCTAGCCATATATCCAATATCCAGCAGAAGCACGTTCCCACAGTATAATGATGCATTAGAGTGAACCTTCGCTGAGTACACGCTATAGAGTAATGGAGTCAGATCAGTGGAATGAATGAATGAATGAATGAATGAATGAATGAATAGTTAAAGTTTTCACTTCTTATATGCGTGTTTTTGTACTTGCATAACAAAGCTTCTCATTTTTCTCATGTTCAGACATCATATGCGGATTACAGAAGCAAGTTTAATGTATCCAGTACTGGGAAGGTGACTCTGATTGGAGACCTGGACTACGAAACTCTCAGTTTCTATCAGTTTACAATCGTTGCCACTGTAAGTATGTGACAATATCAACCGTTTGGTTCTACTGGTGTTGTTCCCTACTTATTGCAGGTCTTGAGAGCTACAAACAACCAACATGATGCATCCACAAGTGTAACCTTGTGATTTGAAAGTAATGTATTACTTACATTTCAGAGAGAACTGTTTGTTGAACCTTAACGGTGGTAGCGTTTCTGGGTTCTGACAATGACGCATGCCGAATGGGTGGGTGCTTTGTTGTTTAACGCTGCAATCAGCGCACTCATGGCCACATAATCCAGTGATTAACAACATGATAATCGATCTACGCAATTTGGATACGATTACATGTGGCAACAAAGTCGGCGAGTCTGACCACCCGATACCGTTCGTCGTCTCTAACGACAAGCTTGGGTTGTTGAAGAGCAATAAATCTCGGATCTTTACGGGTCGCATGGCGAATGATACCAGGGGCATGTTCATCTTCTTTGCGAACACTACTTCGGCATTACTTGATTGACGCTTATCTTAGAAAGAAACGTTCCAGCTGGAAACGGTCTAACTGGACAAGTCAATGATTAATATCATGAGCACCTTCCAACACTGACGCGATACGATGACTCACAATCAGTCAGCGAGCCTGACCCGCAATCAGTCGTCGCTCACGAACTGCATAATTAGCTGGAGACCGTTTTGTATACTCAGCGGAATTAACGGTCACTTCAGTGGAACTATTGTGTTATAGTGCGGGATTGCATTTTGTTTTAGTTCTGTAGGTTGCAACAGAGACAACTTGACCTGTACAATTCGGAAAAGGCTTGTCGCAATTCAGATTCGTGTTCTTGGCTGTACACGTTACTGTGACAAAATATGTGCCCATATGTGTAACAGTTAACGAACCGTTCACTCACCATGTATATCCCCTTGCCAGGATGGAGGAGGCCTGACCAGCGAAGGCCCAGGTGTTTGTGACCGTAACAGATGTCCAGGATAGTCCACCATACTTTACTGGCGGGGCCTTACTTACCTGATATCTGGGAGGACCATGCTGTGGTGAGGATGTTTGTATTATACACCAGTAGCT